ACAAGAAAGCGTACACAATTTCCATTGAATTTTTATGGCTACAGTTACAGAAGTTTTCTTTTCCAAAAAATATTAAATCAGTTAGCCTTTTGTGTTACTTCAGTCCTGTTCTATATTTTGTGATGATATACTGTTAATCTTTCTTTGGTTTTTCACAATGAATAGTCTACTACATCTAATAAATTGTCATAACCGTCTTAGACGCTTTTATACGGACTCTTTAGATACCCCTTGGTCACGTGACAGTATACATTGGTTTTGCAAATAAATTATAAAATATAACAGAGGAAACATTACTAGACATTACTAATTAAATTAATTTAAAATTCAATATGGGCCAAAAACAGCCTTATGGAAACCTGTCCTTTTACACGAAAATAAAATTGAAAAATCTTCAATATTCTCAAGATCAGTAGGGGTAACATAATTGGCATTATTGCGCATTATCATCACCCCTTTGTGTAGGATGGGTGGAAGAGAGGGGAGCAACATTTTCATGGGAATATACAGAAAATTTGTACGAAAAAGCTTAATTGGAAGAATAGCAAGAAGGATTTATATCTTATTTATATGCCAACAATCCATTACTTTGTGAATCAAAGATTTTATTAGTTCATTGGGTCCCCTGAGTCATCATTTGTTGTATGTCCGTCACCTTCTGTCTTGCATCGGTCAAAAATTTTAACATTTTCATGCTGCTTCTTCTCATGAATGGCTGAATGTATTGCAATTTTGGCATAGAACATCTAGGGCAAAGGAAAACAAAACTTTAATAATTCATGGTTTGTTCTCCCTGGGGCCTAAGAGGTGGGGTCAAAACAATAAAAAGTAATACAATCTTTAAAATCATACTCCTGAACATCAAACAGTCAAACTGTTGGTATGACTATATTAAGCAATAAGATCAAGGCCGTAACTAGGCACAAATTTTTAGTGAGGTAATGGTTCGGGTAGGGGGGAAACCCGATTCCTAAGTGGGTCCAGGGTAGTGTCCTGACCGGGGGGGTGTTCCAAAACCTCAGTGGGTTTTAGCAAATTAAAGACTTTAATCTTCGAAATCTTTCAGATGCTTTGAAATTTTTTTTTACATTCCTCTTAGACTATAATGAAGCACCTGAATTACAGGAATTGAAACAAAAATTGAAAGTTAAACTCGGGTACCTGTTAGAGGTAGGTAGCTTTGAAATCTGGTACCTGTTAGAGGTAGGTAATTTTAAAATCTGGTACCTTATAGAGGTAGGTAGCTTTAAAATCTGGTACCTGTTAGAGGTAGGTAGTTTTGAATTCGGGTACCTGTTAGAGGTCGCCCGCGTGGCGCAGTGGTTAGAGCGTCTCCTCTAGAGTCGCGGAGTAAGGAGTTGATCCTTACGTCGCGGGTTCGAATCCCACTGTGAGACGTGGAGACCGGTCCTTCGGATGAGACCGTATAAACCGAGGTCCCGTGTCGCAGTAGGTGCTGGCACGAAAAAGATCCCTCACTGCTCAATGGTCGTAAGTGCCGAGTATAGGACAAAATTTGCAGCTCTCCACCGGCAAGTGGTGGCGTCTCCATATGAGTGAAAAATTCTCGAGAGGGACGTTAAACAACATACAAGCAAACAAACAAACCTGTTAGAGGAAGATAGCTTTAAAATCTGGTACCTGTTAGAGGTAGGTAGCTTTGAAATCTGGTACCTGTTAGAGGTAGTTAGCTTTAAAATCTGGTACCTGTTAGAGGTAAGTAACTTTAAAATATGGTACCTAATAGAGGTAGGTAGCTTTAAAATCTGGTACCTGTTAGCGGTAGGTAGCTTTGAAATTTGGTACCTGTTAGAGGTAGGTCACTTTGAACTCTGGTACCTGTTAAAGGTAGGAAGTATCATAACTTGATACATAATGTAGTACCTGTTAGAGGTGGGCATGTTTCATTTTCTTGGGATCGTAACATAAAGGGTACTTAAGTCTAACACGATGCTAAATGTATAGTGTTTGATTTAATACCGTAACTAAAAGCGTGCTTAGATATGACAACCTTATCAAAACTTAGGCGGTCGGTAGAGGTGACTTTAGTATGTCTTAACTTTTATACACATGTTTAGAATATTAAAAGTTGATTCTCGGCGTTAAAACATTCCTTTATTCATATTACACATTAAAGAAAATAAATATCACTATTAAATACTGGTTTAAGAATTTTAGTTTTTTTCATGGGGGGGGGGGCATACATATAGATGCCGAATTTTATTTTAGGGATAGTTTTGAAATACTAGTTGGACCTATATTATAAACGCTATCATTATTAGTAAATTGTACAAGGTTATCATGGAATTGTTATGTTCACTGTGAAAATATGAAATGAAATATATTTTTAAAAAACAGAAAAATTTTCGGTGAATTAGAATATGATGACTAGAAAGCTAAGAGTGTCTGAAAATTAGACTAAATGTAGAACACAGCAAGCACGGATTGAGGCAGGGGTTCACCACCGTCAGAGAGAGAGAGAGAAAGAGAAAGAGAGAGAACTTGGAGACATTAAAAAACACTTCCTTTCGACCCTTGATTAAATTGTAAATAAGTAAATAATAAAAGGTCTATGAAGAGTCTTTGCACACCGGCATTCGCTGATACATGGAGGGGGATTTAAAATTTCCTAATTTTTTGTACTTTGATTTATAGGCTAAAGGTTTCAATTTCAAGAAGAAATACGTTCGGTTATCGTGCCATATGTCTGCGAGAATGACAAAGCGAGTAAACATTTGTCAAAAGAAAAGAATAACAACAAAAGGTAACTGAAAACATCACAGTCTCGAGTGATAAACAAAAGGTGTGTATTTACAAAAATAAATAAATAAATAAAAATAAATATGTACATAAAATTATATATATATATATATATATATATATATATATATATATATATATATATATATATATATATATATATATATATATATATATATATATATATATATATATATATATACATACATGTATATATAAAATTATATAATTTAAAAAATAAACTTCATCATACATTTTTTGTGGAGAGAGAGAGAGAAAGAGAGAGGGCTCCGTAAGACTCTTTTCAAGTAAATATTATATAATGTTAAAATTATTGTGACGATACCCCTTCGCCCCCCCCCCCCCCGTTCGAATGCACTATATGCTCCCAAATCAACAATTAGAGGACTTTAATTGTCTATCTCCCTTTATTTTTCTTAATTATTACGTTTTACATATTAAATAAACATTAACCTTTCTAGAGAACGATCGATGTGGAACTTTTAATAAGGGTATAAATTCATGGATATCACCGTTGTAATGCGAGATAACTCGTACGCACTTATGGAGAGATAACTCCTGCCAGCCACCCTGCAAGCGGTACCAGATAGCCTCAACCTGAAATTACGCCCCACGAAATTTGGTTTGTCCTTGAAAATTTATCCCCACTATTTAAAAAGATACCACAGAATTAACGAAGAAAATTAGCGATTTTTGTAAACAACGCATACAATAAACATACTGTTATATTTCACTTAGTAAAGGATTTAATACTTTATTATTTAAAGATTATCTTTTCAGGAAATAAATTGGATTAACTCGGGAGTAAGAGCTTATAGTAGATCTCTGATGTCAGTCTGGTCAGACACTTCATGTTCATAAACAAACTATAGATGCCAACAACACGTAGATACAAAAAGTTCCCTTTTACACAAATCTGCTGTATATTTTTATTATTCAGAGGGCTGGTTGGTGGACAGGGAATGCCTACCTTTCCCAAGCAAAATATCCTAAAACCGGCGTCTTCAATCGTGCGTGTTTCTGTCTGTTTCACTTGTATTCTCTACTGAATTAGTTAGTTTTAACACTGTTCGTTATCTTCACCTTTTTTTCATTTTATCTAATAGGGTTTATTCAAAATAAACATAAGAATTTATCATTTACATAGATTAAATTGCCTATCAATGATCCATTAAATGTGATATCGACTCTACTATGGCTAAAGAAAAGCACATTTTGTTGTTGATGCTATGGATACTTATAATTAAGGTACGTAATAATTCGTGAAATTGCTAAAAGTAATTCATTACATTTTAACAAACAATTATTTTATAACGTATTTCGACCACTTTTGAATTGTCGACGGATTTTTTCCGTTATTTCCCGATCACGACAAGGAGCACACGGCGGGTGTGACTGGTCGGCAGGGGATGCTCACTCCTCCATGGCACCTGATCCCACCTCTGATGTTTTGGAGGTCCATGTTTGCTCTGCACCTATCTTGTAATGTTTAATAGACGTTTGAGCTTGAATACTGTTCGTTATCTCCATATATTCCAAGAAAGCAAAGTGCGACAGTCATTGACCTAAAACAAAGAAATGTTTAATAGAGTGATCATTTTGGTTCCATAGACCAAACTTCTCTTACATTTCCCTAACCGTTCACGTTAGCTCAGTTGGTAGAGATTTCGCTTCGTGATCGGAAGGTAGTGAGTTCGAATCTCGGCCGCGACTGACCAAAGTCGATAAAAAATGGGTAGCCACTTTTCCTTCGCCATGCGCTCGGCACTTTGAAGTGAAAGTTGCGGGTCCTTCGGATGAGACCTTAAAAACCGAGGCCCCGTGTCACGGAAGGCGTTTTCACGATAAAGACCCCTCATTGCCCAATGGCCCTGATCAAAATTTGAAGCCCTTCACCAGTATATGGTGACGTCTCTATATGAGTGAAAAAACAACATACAATCAATCAATCAATCTTACATTTCCAAGTATCAATCTTGTATATCAGTGATGCATTCATTTTCCAATCTCAATAACAATTATTTAAAATGATATAAATGAATTAGGTGAGCATGGACTAGAATATCTAAAACTACGATATTTTTAACTAACTAGACATCTTTTAATGTGGATATGTAGATACCTTATATCTAATACAGAACAGCCATTTGGTCACAATGTTTTTCTACACATTCGTGAAAATCTTGTAAATATTCCAAATCACAATTACATTTTTGAACATGGTTTTCAAGGTGGCAGTAGGGAGGATAACTTTTTTCATGCACATAGATGAAGTAAAGAGTCCAGGTAATAAACTTCACGGGGGAGGCTGTTGTCAGGGTGTGACGGGTACCCATTGTACCAAGTTGTGTAATCCTGTACTCACCATATGCCTTAAGTAAGTGATGTTTGGCTTTAAAACTTAAAATTTAAATAACATTGATTTTGCAGGTAAAGGATTCTATTTTTTCTTTGCCACAGAAACAATCACCATTCCTGTACGTCAAGTTTTACCACAACATTAAACATGAGACGACAAGACGTCTTTTATGGTTCTAAAGTTGGGAACACAACAAACCCGCAGTTTTTAGAAGTTGATTCATGGGTATAACTACTTTCATACAAATTGTTTGTCAGGCCATCATTAGAATATAGTTTTGTTGCCCTCTCTAGACCGACTGACTAAAGACGGCCCGATCAAAACTTTTTAACCCCCCATGAAACAATTATTTTTTTTAATCATTCCGAGATTTTCTAATCCCATAAATAACTATTTTATTAAAGTTTTTTTCCCTACCTACCTACCCAATTTTTTATCCTTGGTCGGGAGAGGGCAAGCAAGCATTATTTTAAAGATGCCCTCAGTATGAATATTATATAAAACATTTCTTTAATTTTTTAACGGTTTTGTAGATCCTATAACTATTTTCAAACTTATTTACTCAGAATAAATATCTGGACAAGATATCCGTGAGAGTGGTAGATTTACAACACTCCTCCTCACCACTCATCTACCAGACAGAGTTTGCCGATTACAATCTTCAAATAGGAAACAACATACTTTCACAACATTGGCGACAAAAAAATTTGGTGGCAAGTTATTTCTCGGATAAAAATTCTTTTTTGTAAGTTGTTCTTTATTCAAACCAACTGAATAAACAACCATCACAATCGTACATTAACTTAAAACACTTTTTTCCTTTAACAAAAATGTCGAAGAAGTTAAGCTACATATTACTCCTATTTCAGTATCCAGATAACGTACAAGGCCTACTGTTCTGAGGGTTACTTTAGTTCAGACTGTACAGTTAAGCTACATATTACTCCTAATTTAGTATCCAGATAACGTACAAGGCGTACTGTTCTAAGGGTTACTATGGTTCAGACTGTACAGTTTAGCTACGTATTACTCTCATTTCAGTATCCAGATAACGTACAAGGCGTACTGTTCTAAGGGTTACTATGGTTCAGACTGTACAGTTTAGCTACGTATTATTCTCATTTCAGTATCCAGGTAACGTACAAGGCGTACTGTTCTAAGGGTTACTATGGTTCAGACTGTACAGTTTAGCTACGTATTACTCTCATTTCAGTATCCAGGTAACGTACAAGGCCTACTGTTCTAAGGGTTACTATGGATCAGACTGTACAGTTTAGCTACATATTACTCCTAATTTAGTATCCAGATAACGTACAAGGCCTACTGTTCTGAGGGTTACTATGGATCAGACTGTACAGTTTAGCTACGTAATACTCTCATTTCAGTATCCAGATAACGTACAAGGCGTACTGTTCTAAGGGTTACTATGGTTCAGACTGTACAGTTTAGCTACGTATTATTCTCATTTCAGTATCCAGGTAACGTACAAGGCGTACTGTTCTAAGGGTTACTATGGTTCAGACTGTACAGTTTAGCTACGTATTACTCTCATTTCAGTATCCAGGTAACGTACAAGGCCTACTGTTCTAAGGGTTACTATGGATCAGACTGTACAGTTTAGCTACGTATTACTCTCATTTCAGTATCCAGATAACGTACAAGGCCTACTGTTCTAAGGGTTACTATGGTTCAGACTGTACAGTTTAGCTACGTATTATTCTCATTTCAGTATCCAGGTAACGTACAAGGCGTACTGTTCTAAGGGTTACTATGGTTCAGACTGTACAGTTTAGCTACGTATTACTCTCATTTCAGTATCCAGGTAACGTACAAGGCCTACTGTTCTAAGGGTTACTATGGATCAGACTGTACAGTTTAGCTACATATTACTCCTAATTTAGTATCCAGATAACGTACAAGGCCTACTGTTCTGAGGGTTACTATGGATCAGACTGTACAGTTTAGCTACGTAATACTCTCATTTCAGTATCCAGATAACGTACAAGGCGTACTGTTCTAAGGGTTACTATGGTTCAGACTGTACAGTTTAGCTACGTATTATTCTCATTTCAGTATCCAGGTAACGTACAAGGCGTACTGTTCTAAGGGTTACTATGGTTCAGACTGTACAGTTTAGCTACGTATTACTCTCATTTCAGTATCCAGGTAACGTACAAGGCCTACTGTTCTAAGGGTTACTATGGATCAGACTGTACAGTTTAGCTACGTATTACTCTCATTTCAGTATCCAGATAACGTACAAGGCCTACTGTTCTAAGGGTTACTATGGTTCAGACTGTACAGTTTAGCTACGTATTACTCTCATTTCAGTATCCAGGTAACGTACAAGGCCTACTGTTCTAAGGGTTACTATGGATCAGACTGTACAGGTTAGCTACGTATTACTCTCATTTCAGTATCCAGATAACGTACAAGGCGTACTGTTCTAAGGGTTACTATGGTTCAGACTGTACAGTTTAGCTACGTATTACTCTCATTTCAGTATCCAGATAACGTACAAGGCGTACTGTTCTAAGGGTTACTATGGATCAGACTGTACAGTTAAGCTACGTATTACTCTCATTTCAGTATCCAGATAACGTACAAGGCCTACTGTTCTAAGGGTTACTATGGATCAGACTGTACAGTTTAGCTACGTATTACTCTCATTTCAGTATCCAGATAACGTACAAGGCCTACTGTTCTAAGGGTTACTATGGTTCAGACTGTACAGTTACCTACATATTACTCTTATTTCAGTATCCAGATAACCTACAAGGCCTACTGTTCTGAGGGTTACTATGGATCAGACTGTACAGCTCATTGTCCTGGTAATCCACAGAAGTGTGTCGTCAACGGTCATACTTACTGTAAAATGGGTAAGCTGAAAACATTCAATTAGTCCATGTGAATTGCGATGAAAAAGAACAATACATTATAAAAAGTGGTATACCTGTAAAATGGATAACTATAAAACCAACTTACAATTGCTAGAACTGTGCTACAGTCATTCTACAAAAACTAGATAAAAATATATCATGTTGCTTCACAAATTTATACCGTTGTAATATCATATTTATGATTTAAAGATCGGTTTCAACCCTATGACTAGACATTAATGCATGGTGGTTAGAGCGTCTGCTCTAGAGTCGAGGAGTAATTAAGGAATTGATCCTTACGTCGCGGGTTCGAATCCCACTGAAGGACGTGGAGACCGGTCCTTCGGATGAGACCGTATAAACCGAGGTCCAGTGTCGTAGTAGGTGCTGGTACGAAAAAGAACCCTCAGTGCTCAATGGCCCTGAGTGCCGAGTATAGGTCAAAATTTGCAACTCTCCACCGGCAAGTGGTGGCGTCTCCATATGAGTGAAAAATTCTTGAGAGGGGCGTTAAAAACAAACAAACAAAAATCAGAATTTAACTTCCGTAATTATAGATTTTTTTTCATTTACAGTAAAAATAGTTTTATTTATTTGAAAGCTAAATATTTTATACTTTTGATAAAATCTTAAAACAATCTTTAATTACATCTTTGCAGAAAATTTCAACTTTTATTGCTAAAAATTAACTCTCTTAACGATTAAGTTCCATAAACTTCCATAACAATTTCCTCCGAATTTTTAGTTAATATCAGATTCGTGTCAGACTTCAAAAACCATGTTATTCCGTTCTATACTCAACACCAGAAATCAAAAATAATAGGTCAAATTCATGTTAATTTCTTTTATTGAACTAGGTAATAAGTCCTATGTAAGCACTGACTTCCATAACATTCCCTTTTAACCGTGGATATATCGAAATTGTTACAAGAAATATGAAGATAGATTTGTGAACAATGCTTTTTAACTACACTGTTATGTCCTTAAGAAATCAATTTTGTTCAACTGGCTATTTGAAACAATTAATTTTTCATGTTTTATATCCCGAATTATCATTTTATCGAAGATTGCCTTACCATTGTCATTAAAAATCCATACATTAGTATTAATATTATATATTGAAAAATCTAATTGTGAAAATAAAGGCTAATAAAAGCTACCATTTTATACACCAAACTTAAAACTTGAAATGAAATCTGGGGAAATGGCACCAGAACAAGCAAAATAATGTACAGTTATTTTTCAAAAGTATCTTTGAGCACTAATATCTAGATAACTGAAAATGCTGCACCAAATAAAATGTTTAGTAATTTGATTAAAGTAACTGGAAAACCTGAAACAGTAAGGGAGTATAATGAAGAATATTGATCATATAACATGCAGTTAAGTCAAGCATCACTATATATATTGTAGGATGGCAGGGAAATAATTGTGATGAAGATATCAACGAATGTGCTAATCGACGGTTTTGTGGTCATGGTACCTGTACAAACACAGCTGGTAGTTTCCATTGTAAATGTCCCTCCTCTGTTTACGGTCTGAAATGTCAGCTGGATGAGGATGAATGTCTTCTGGAGCCGTGTAATGGAGGAGAGTGTGTCAACAAGATCGGAAGTTACACATGTCAGTGTAGAAGCGGAACAACTGGTAAAAACTGTGAATCGTTGACTGCTCACCAATGTCACAGAGATACGTGTAATAATCATGGACAGTGTCATGTTAAGCATAGCAACACCATGTGTACGTGCAACAATGGATATACCGGTACGGACTGTTCCATAAGAAACTCGTGTGCTCATAATCAGTGTCAGAATGGTGCTACATGTGTGATATCTGGAACAAATTACATATGTCATTGTGCGAAAGGCTACATGGGAGAACTTTGTAATAAAGTTGCTTACTGTGCAACGCTTCCCTGCAAAAATTCTGGATCTTGTATTAATACAGCTTTTGGATATAATTGTTTATGCACTGATCATTTTATGGGACAGAACTGTAGCACGTACGATTACTGTTTTGGACAGAACTGCAATAACCGAGGACAATGTCTAAACAGACCAAACGGTTACACTTGTCAGTGTAGGACGCAGTATCTTGGTAAAAACTGTGAGCTGAATAATTATTGTCATAGTAATCCATGTATACACAACTGCTCAAATACAAACACTGGCTATACTTGTCATTGTTCATATGGCTTTACGGGAGATCTTTGTGACAAACGTGATTATTGTGCTAGTAATCCCTGCCAAAATTCTGGACTGTGTAGTAATGGTGATTCTGGGTATAATTGTTCTTGTATTGTTCCTTTTTACGGTCAACACTGCACTGAGTATGATCATTGTTTTAATCAAACATGTAGTGGACATGGAATCTGTCGTAAGTTAATAATCCCATCAAATGGGCAGAACTACTACTTGTGTGAATGCGATGCTGGATGGACTGGGTCAGAATGTCAGTTTTATAATTACTGTCACAATATATCTTGTTCTAATCATGGAACATGTTTTAACAGTGGTACTGATTTTTTATGTGTATGTATTCCTGGATTCTCGGGAAGAATGTGTGAATCAACTCAGTATTGTAAATCATCGTCTTGTATTGCTCCAAGGGTCTGTAAGGAAAGTATAATGGGATATTCGTGTGAATGCCCATATGGGGTTGTAGGAAGCAACTGTGATAGAATTGACCACTGCTTGAAAAATCCATGTGGGGATCATGGTACTTGTAACGACAAAGATATCGGATATAACTGTTCTTGTTACATTGGGTGGACAGGTGCGTCATGCGATGAGATAGATCATTGTGCAAATACTTCCTGTCAGAATGGTGCACTTTGCAATAATAATTTGTTCAACTACACTTGCTCCTGTAAAGACGGATTTTATGGTCGATTTTGTGAAATCACAGACTATTGTTACAATAATTCATGCATTAATAATGGGACATGTCACAATCAGGCTAACACATTTACATGTTCGTGTCCTAGTGTGTGGACAGGGCAGCTGTGTGAGAAGGAAAATCTGTGTTTTACTTCTCAGCCTTGTGGACAACATGGTCATTGTTTGCAAGTTGATATGCAAGTGAAATGTTCCTGTTCAGCGGGCTGGATAGGAGAAAATTGTACAATTAAAGATTACTGCTATAAATCTCCTTGTGGTTCTATGGGAACCTGCCAGAACTTAGAAGATTCTTATGTTTGTAACTGCCATCCAGAATGGACGGGTAAAAACTGTGAAGCTTATGCGTGCAGAAACAATACGTGTCTTCACGGAAGTTGCCATGCCGCTAGGGATACTCTTTATTCCTGTGACTGTGATCCAGATTGGATTGGAGATGATTGTGATGTAGTGAATCCGTGTAACTCTACGTCATGTGAAAATGGTGGAAAATGTGTGGCCCATTTATTTACTCCACCATTAAATTCAAATTCTTCTATAGAATCAATTGTTAATGCTACTGCATCATGCAGATGTGTAAATGGATGGGAAGGTGAATTTTGTACAGTTGATGTTGATGAATGTCAGCAAAAAAATCCTTGCCATGGGCAAGGTTCTTGTTTAAACAGTGTTGGCGGATTCACTTGCAAATGTGAGCAGGGCTTCATTGGCATTGATTGTGCTGTAGATATTAATGAATGTGCATCGAATCCATGCCATAACAATGCAACCTGCGTCGATGCTGTTGACGGTTATACATGCTTATGTTCGTCGTTTTTCCAGGGTGATCTGTGTGACAAAGATATAAATGAGTGTCAGTATTTTGTATGTGGGTCTCATGGCACTTGTATCAACAAGTATGGAGATTATAAGTGTATGTGTGCACCAAGCTGGACAGGTCGTCATTGTGAAAGTCACATCAATTCGTGTTCTCTTGACCCTTGTAAAAATAATGCAACATGTTTTGATGTAGATGATACATTCTTCTGTACATGTGACGATCGGTTTACTGGGCGACATTGTGACATTGATGTGAACGAATGCAAGACTAGAACGCCCTGCAAAAATGGCGCATTTTGTTCAAATACATATGGGTCATTTTATTGTACATGTCCCAAAGGGTGGAGTGGAGAATTTTGTGAAGAAGACATAGATGAATGTCAAAACAATGTTTCTTGTCCAAGAAACACTACCTGTGTTAACAAAATAAACGGATTTGAATGTAAGGATTGCTCTATTTTTCATTGTCTGAATGGGGGAAAATGTCTTGATACAGAGCGGGGGCCAGTCTGTAAATGCACACAAGACTGGACAGGAGCTCAGTGTAATGAAATCAATTTCTGTAAAGACGATCCATGTGGGACACTTCAGATCTGCATCAATGAAAAAAGTACCTTTACTTGTGAATATCACTCCTGCAAAAGCTCTCCTTGTAAACATAGTGGTAAATGCATTGAAAGGGGCATTGAATATTACTGTGAATGCAAATCTGGTTGGAAAGGAATATTATGTGAGGAAAAAGACTACTGTGCAGTAAACGTTTGTGAAAATAATGGAACTTGTCATAATGGAAACTCTTCCTTCATTTGCATTTGCTCCGAAGACTGGTATGGAGAACGTTGCGAGCTCTATAATTTTTGCTTTGACCATCCTTGTAAAAAAGTTGGAGTTTGTCAGAATTTGTTAGATACATATTTTTGCGATTGTCCACAGGGTTGGATGGGTAGGGATTGTGAAATATATAATCACTGTGTAAATTTACCATGCAGAAATGATGGTATTTGTAACAACAAGAATACGTCCTACACATGCACTTGTCCAGGTGAATGGAAAGGAGTCAACTGTGAAGAATACAATAACTGTTTCAGTTCACCCTGTCACAACAATGGGACTTGTCAGAGTGAAAAAAATTCCTTTTCATGTTCCTGCTTACCGGGCTATTTAGATAAAACATGCGACGTGTTCAATCAGTGCCTCTCAGACCCATGTCAAAATAATGGGACTTGTATAATGAATCAGACTAAGTATGAATGCCGATGTCATGGCGGGTACATCGGGACACAATGTGAAAAGGATAGAGACGAATGCAAAATGAATCTTTGTCCGGCAAGGTCAACCTGTTTTAATCAAGATGGTGGATATTTGTGTTTATGGGAGCGGAGGAAGAAGAGGGAATACATTTCAAAAGGTTAATTATAAATCTTGTTTATTTCAGAAGTATTTCGGGATTAAAAAGTGTTTTGAAAACATAATCTGTTGAAAATCATAATCCAACTGAGTTCATGAAAAGAGTTTTTACACGGATATTTTTATTTATTTTTTTTCTTTCTTAAAAATGTTTGTTGTAGTTTAAATGCAATTGTTTATTCTGATAGGGTTGAAATATGGTGTCCTAGAATTGCAGTATTCTATAGACAAGAGTGAATTACACAGAAACATAGTCAATGCTGAACGACTAGTCGACGAAAAGCTCTGTCAAACGAGTCCAACGTTGTTCCAACCAACATCATTGGTATCAGAAGGGTAATCTGCTATTTTTAAATTATGATGTAAAAACTTTAAGATATTTTTATGACGTTAACTTCAAGGCAAAATTTTGAGACTGAAAGTTTCTTTAGCAAATTAAATATTATCATTTACACAAAATACCAGTAAAGTATTTGATGTTTTCTGACTTATCCTGCTTTCCTTATTTGGCTTTAACAGGGGGTTGATCAGCGCCCCCCCCCCCCCCCGCACCCCCCCCCCCATTTTGGTCTTCCCCGCATTCTTTTTATCATAATTTGTCACAACAATCGACACCGAGACTCTTTTGGAGCTTGTTTTTTTTCCTTGTTTTTATATTTTTCTATTATAGCTTTACATTATTTTATTATGAATTATCAGTATGTTTTAAAACAGTATCGAAAAATAATAAGGGAATATAAATAATTTGATAGTTTGGTCTTTTTAATTTCAGGACTAGCAAACTGTACCTACATTTTAACTATCGGTGCAATGGGGTAGAGGACCACTTCTGATGATGTTTATGCGACCACTCAGTTTAATTATACTAGTTCTTTAATGTATAAATTTACCTGTTTTATGCTGTATTAAATATATTGAACTAAACTGATTGATTGATTGATGATTCATTTGAGAATGATTGATTTCATTTAATAGATTAATATGGTGCACATCATTTTGTTTTGAGTGCTTTTGAGTAAATTATGAAAAATCAATCATCTATTAACAAAAGTAAATCATCTGAAAATTTTAATTTTAATCCCTGTACTTTTATCATTATTTATATTGTTAGAACCTAAAGGGAAAATGACGCACCTACCAAAAATATACAGCCATTTTTTTTATTTGGCATGGAAAAGGAAAATAAGCTATATGCAATAGACATGCCAGACGAGGAGATTCTATAATGATGTAGGCTGTGTTTATAAGTCTGTTGAGGATATTGAAGCACCACTCTAGCAGTTGGAGGAGAAATGGCATGAACCACAATTCAAACTGCTTCTAAAACAATATTGAGACCTTCCTGTTGGATGCAGATATAGAAATAGCACAGATTCTGAATGACAACACAAACATGCACATTATCTCATCAGGAATCAATGGGGAAAGATGTCCAGATATGATACCAAGCAAGGGATAAAATTAAAAAAAAAACGACAGGGGAGAGAAAACTCTTCAATAAGGACAGGATTAATGTCACATTCTTGGAATATTGTACATGAAAAAGCTGCAGCTTATTTTACTCTTTGAGTATTTATATGAAATATGGAGATAAAGAAAAGTATTCAAGCTCAAAAGCTGAATGAAACAATACAAATCGGGAGTAGAGCAAACACGGACCTCCAAAACATCAGAGGTGTGATCAGCTGCTATGAGGAGTACGCACCCCCTGTCGACTAGTTACACCCTCAGTATGCTCCTTGTAAAGAAAAATCCGTAGACAATTCAGTGTATAAATAGTTGTCTAACAATTGGTATGAAAAATGTCAGTCAGAATTCAACTTAATGATAGATTGTATTTGCTGACAATATTATTGTATAGACCATAGAACTTGCAAAATGATAACTTTATTTGTTTCTTTCTGAAGAACTTATCTAAACCTACATGATGTTCTCTGAATTCCTGCCTAACTCTGAAATATAGGCCCATTGCTGTGAACTGGGTTTAGACTCGCCTTCCAAAGTTTTTGAATAATTGAACCCTCTATTCCAATCCAATATATCCTATATCAACGTCACCTTTAAAATTCTTTTAATCTATATTTTTCTTCAAAAGCATGTTCTAGTACCGTAGAAGAACCAACTGTGTAATGGTTTTGTTTATTTTTTGTGTCCGTGAAATGAAATGCCGAACCGTTTTATGGACTTCTACCCTAAGCTTGGATAAAGTATGCATTATTTGAATGAAATATATGGAGATAACGAACAGTATTAACACGGACCTCCAAAAACATCAGAGGTGGGATCAGGTGTCATGAAGGAGCGAGCATCCCCTGCTGACCGGTCACATCTGCCGTGTGCTCCTTGTCATGATCGATCGAGAAATGACAGGAAAATCCGTCGACAATTCAGGTGTAAATAATGGCCTAACAATAAGTATATAAATCATACAAGGTACCAATTTTGATGCACCAGATGAGCATTTCGACAAATTATGTCTCTTCAGTGATGTTCATGCCGAAATGTTGGAAATCCGAAATATTAATTAAAAAAGACTGAAGAGCTTGCCAAAGACTGGGGTCAAAAAGTTGAAAGATCAGAGTATGAAAAACGTCAGTCAGCATTTGACTAAATGATACATTATATTAGCTGATAAGGTCATTTTATCAACCATACAACTTATGAAATGATGAATTTAAACGAGACTGTTGATATTCTTGTTTCATCAACTTGTTTGTCAATAACTTACGTCGTTTTAGAAACTGTTCGTACATTCATTTCAAACTTTCCTTTTTACTCATACGCAGCGATACCAAAACACCGGTCACCTAATTTATTAAGTGAGAAAGGCATTATCTGGTTGTAGAGAAGATCCTTTAAACTTTTAAAACAGAACTCATAGAAACGAGAAACATTCTTGTGACACACATATTGAGCATCAAGGTATTAGAAGCAAATAACAGCTGTTCCACATTAGATGTTTCAGTGGTAAGTCACTGCGGTTAGGAAGTTTACATTCTATAAATATTTCATAACATTTCTGAGTGCATTATAATTCAATTCAAGAAAGGCTTGTCTTAAATAACCACTAAAATAGAAATGTCTCTTTTGGACACAAAGGGATTGATCTCTGCTTACAATTTAACCAACTCGTGAAATTTTAAACCTTACACTCCCTTCCCCCAATGCCATGTTCCTGTTAGCTTTCTTTCCTTCTATATACGTGTTGTGTATTGAGACTTTCTCCTCCATCCTTCATTATCTATTTAACTGGAGGTTCAAATGATTTTTCTTTGCTTTTCTATGACACTTAATGTCTTCCTGTTCTTGAAAATTGCCTTTATCCAGTTGTGGAACCCGTCAATAAAAAATCAAAATTTCTGTCCACATGCTGAGTACATGAACTTTTCATCCTTGTATAAAAAACGTTGAATATGATATTAAATCGAAGCGGATCCAGTTATGTATGAATGATTGTTTCTGCTTCTGTCTCCAAAGTCTTAACAGGGAAATTTTCTATTAGCTGAGTTGGAATGTACCTTCACTTCAGTTCCTTCCTCTAATCCGACTGTTCGTTTTCTTTTTCTCGAAGAAAGGGGAGGGGAATGGGGTATTACATGGAATATCTTTAAGCTCAATTCACCCTTCCTTTTTTTCTTCAGGATAAATCCTTGGTTATAAATTTCCTGTAAAGGTCCCAATTTTTTTAACTTTCTCCTATTTTTTATTGATTGCTTAGTTAATTGATTTGTTTATTTAATTATTTATTGGCTTTCAGTATGAAAAACAAATGAAACAGATAAAGAAAATAAGTAAAGAGTCACTCTAATGCACTATCTTGTATGTGTTACTCATATTGTAGACAAACACAATCGGAGTCATTGACAGGGTTTGTAAATCTCTGTTGGGCCAACTTTAAAATAATGTTTGTTTGCCCTCTCCCGACTCAGGATGAGAAAATTGAGGCGGTAGGTAGGTGAGAAATTTTTTTTTCAAATAAAATTTCAAAATCAATGCTGAATTTCCAAAATCTATTTTCTGGAATGCATAAAAAAGTAATTGCTTGCTGGAGGTTAAAAAAATGTTTGAGTCGGGCCAGTTTCAGCCAGTCTGTCGGGAAAGGGCAACAAAACATTTTTTTAAAGATGGCCTTGCTTGATTACCAAATAGAAATCTCTAGGAAAAATACCATGGATGGAGTATAAATTACAAATTGAGAGGATACTAGTTTTCACCTACCTTGTCTGTTTTAGAAATATTAATTCGTAGCGTTACCAGAAGTGTGCATTCGTCTGACAGTCTTACAAAAAACATTACTGAAGAAAATACTGGCATTTTGTTAAATACTGATATATCATTTGTAATGTACCAATTCAAATGAAGTTCGATGTCCAATTTTACCATGATTTCCTGTCCAATTATTGAAAAGGGGATAAACGGTACAATCCATTACCATTATTATACCTTTTACAAGTGTTTTATCTTAGTTTAAATATATTTTATTCATATCCATTAACAGCAGGTACAAATGTCTAAGAACGCGTTTGATCTTGCAGGACGTTATTTGGATGAAAAGTCACAATTTCAAAATTGTCACTGTATATTCAAACATTGATTAGTAAACAAAAAGGATAAACAACAATGCGAGAAATTTGATGATATGTCCGCCTTTATTGCAGCCTCATCAGGTATACATTGTATTTCATTGATGAAAATAGAAATGGTCTTCCATTGTATACGTATGAAGGTTTGTCATGCAGATTGAGTCATTCGTGAAGGCAAACTAACTTTTCTTCGTCTGACAGGAGTAAGACAAGGCTTCTTGCTTTCACCATTCTTGTCCGTACTGATGGTAGACTGGAATATTAAAAAAGCCATAACAGACACAAAGAATAGTATCCAGTGCATTAGTGGACATCGTGGGCACAGATGAACTGGAATTTGTAGATGACTTAGCTCTACTACCCTATACAGAACAGCAAATGCAAATATGGCAGAACTTGCTGCGCAAACTGGACTTACAATCAATAGGAAAAGCCTTTAGAACCAACACTGCTAATGTTGAAGCAATAAAACTTGAAATAAAAGCCCTACATGTAGCTTGAATAATTAGAGGCCTGGGTACTTTTGACATGTTTGAGGACCAGGATGTTGATGCTAAAACTATAACTGGAAAGGCAAGAGCAACGTTTATATAGGTGAAAAAAAGTTTTGGGATCCTAAGATCTTGCCCTCAAAACTAAGATTGACATAGTCAACAATAATGTCAAGGCAGTCATAATGCCTTAATGTATAAACTGGCCAAACACCATCAACATAACTGATCTACGGCACAAGACAAACTGTTGAAACAGAAATTTTGTGGAGGTGTTGGAGATGGCTTGTATACACGTACACTTAAACCCTCAACTAATATCACGTGGCATGCACTTACTATACCTGATATCCCCAAGGCAAAATATAAAAAAGAGAGCCCACCCAAAAAACACTTTGAAGAGGGATTTGGAAGCAGAATTTAAAAAGAAAATACGGATTACTTGGAAAGAGATGGAGAAAAAAGACCGGGATAGAATTAGCTAGAGTAGTCGTGACTTAGGCCCCAAAAGGCCAGGTAGCAGGCAAAGTATGTAAATCTTGGAACTCTATCAGCCCAATGCTGAGTATCTAGACTACAAACGTAATCTAGCTGACTGATTTAAATTCAACAGTCCTGTACTCGGAAGTCATAGTTTTAATGAGAATGGTAAAAAGGGCCTATTGGAGCACATGCAATGTCAAATAACACAAAAATCTGGAAAGTGAAGTGCACACTAAGCAACATGAAAGTCAGTAATATTCATCAATAATGACTTTGAATTATAACCATGAATTAAATTTCAAAAGCAATGCAGAGAAACTGTTTATTCTGTCTCTGAATTCAGAAACTTTTTAACTATGTTGTAAATGTGTATATCAAGCAAAACTGTTCAACTGTGAAAATATATATATAGCTGTCCGCCTACTGAGACCAGGATAATTAAAATAATTATACCAATTCCCACAATTTGTATTTTCATGTCACTGTAAAAATGACACCAATTACTTTGGTTTGATCAAGTAATAATATTCATTCTATATTTTCAAAGTTTATTTAATTTTCCACGATTACGAATAAGTTAATGTACGAGATACTTATGTTCAACTTCGGAATAATTTTGGTTGATTGACTTAGTTTTGTTTTATATCAAAATGGCGACTCCAACTCGGAGACCGCGACCGCGGAATTTAAATTCGCCTTTGACTCCGAGAAAGTATCATCCTTACTCAAAGGTAAAATAAGTAATTCAGAACTCTTCATTAATCCATTAGGTTTGATGTGGACAGTTTCACTCGAAGGCGGGGAAGTACATGTATGGAGCATGGGAACATTTTATGAGGACGGTGAACTTGCAGTTACAAACTGTCAATAGAAAACACACCAAACAGCTGTTTAGGGGATATAGTGTTATCATGTTTATTGCAGTGCTCAACACTTATTATTATTATTTTAATGATTATTTATCAAAGTTTCATTTTTGTCTTGTATCAGTATTTATAGTAAACATGATTATACTTTTTTATTGTTTCAGCAAATTCGTAAAGGAGTGAATGAGACATTTGACAGAATATATGCCTGTGTCTATGGCCATTGTGCTGGAGATGCAATTGGATTGTTGACAGAAACATTTTCAAAAACAGAGGCAAAAAAGGTGCCACTGTGTAGCATCTTTATTACTTTGATCAGTGTTAATAACAAAAATATCATACAATAAATTTCAGGAAACAGAAATGGTGGAATTTTTAAATAATAATATGTACATAAATTGTATACTGATTTGGATTGTATTTGGTTTTGGAAACTAGGTCAATTATTCCACCTTATAACTTCTAAATCTGCTGATAATACCATTTTCATATATATTCTGTCTTGTAAAAGTATGCTTGTTAATCCAGAGATACAGAGAAGTGTATAAAAGTTTAGAGCTCATCCACAAAAAGATTGTTCCTGACGCACACAGACGGAAATGGCTGATAGGAGAGTGGACAGATGAATCGGACATGATGATTCTTATTCTTCAGACAATTGTCATGAATAAAGGAGAGGTATATGTACATGTATAATTCCAAAAGGAGGCTCTACAAGGTCAACATGGAATCATAAAAATAATTATAGAATATGTGTATTCCTCTAATTTAGTGACAATATCTTAATTTTAATAACTTCAGACTATTATGTACTATGTAGGACAGACTCAGTAGGTATATTATAGACTCTAAATTGACAATATTATTTTTCAAACTGTAAAAATCAAATAGTTCTTTATTTAAAAATGTTTTGGACAAGTTAAGATTTTGTCAAGACAAGCAAGTTTCCTAGTCACTTGGCCAAATGGACTAGTGAGAAAGAAATGTTATTGTTGACCATGTTCAGGGATCGACATTAACGGTTGTCTGATTGCCCGGGACAAGTAAATTCTCAGTTCGGGCAAGTGAAACTGTCAACTTACTTGTCCGATCGGGCAAGTGAATTTTTCTGATAGAAATGTGTACTGGTATCTAGTTTACATTAATTATAAATAAAACAATAGATTGAACACTTGATTTCCGCCAGATACGTGACTGACATTGCCCCCTTGGATTTCTAGATTATATTGTTCATTAAAAATTGGGTTCGTTATTCTTTTTATTTCATGTTAATACGCTCTACGTATTATAACTTTGTTCACTACTTAATTCATTCACACTGACAGAATATAACATGACCTATCCTGATCAAGATATGTATGTTTCATAGCAACTATCTTCCTTAGTGTTGCATCAGTCAAAATTCACAAAACAAAACGATCCTACCCAAAATGATTTTTATTAAAAAGGAAACGGATGGTTATTGATGCATTGCAGTGTGTGTTTACAGATTAAATTGACAAGGAAAGTGGTAGTATACATTTATGTCCAAACGTACCATCTTAATTTTTTTCAGGTACCTCAACTTGCCAGATTTACAGTAGTGTATCTGTTCACACTTTTTCTTATCATAATATTTAAAGCAATAAATTATTTTCCTATTTGGGCAACCAAGTTTTGCATTCGGACAAGTCACTTTGAAAGTTAACGTCTATCCCTGATGTTGACCCCTGGATTCTCTGGATCCAGTCATTGAAGACTTGTATGTGAACGAATGCGCAGCTGCATTTCTCAATAATATAATCAGTCAAATAAACTGGATTGATTTTTTGGGTAAAAAGTCATTCAGTATCCTTTTTATTTTAAGTTTTGGCTATTTTAACATGTTTAACATATTAAAGTCTAATATGTTTTCTTGGTAAATGTTTGTTACTTAGACCATTTTCTGATGGTCAAAGTGGGCTATTTTAAAGACTAGCATACTTTATAGGTTAACATGGTAAATGTCCATATGTTTTGTCTATTGTCTGATAGAGTGGGCTTTTATGAATACTTACATATTTGTAGGTAAATGCCCATTATAAATACATTTTTTGTAGGTAAATGCCCGTTATTTTGCCCGTTGTCTAATGGAATGGGCAGAGAAGGGGTTTCCAGAATTGGATGATGTTTGTGGTAATGGCTTATGTCCACAAATAAAGGCAGTTATCTCCCATCCACAATTCTCTGAGGAACCAGAGAAGGTAAACAGTTCATGGACTTACAAAAAAAATAATTGTTTGTAAACTTTGAAGGGCTTTGTTATATTTGTATAAAAATTTTAATGTCTGTGACACTGTTTTTTTTTTTAATTATGTTTTTTCTCCTTTTAAAGAAAGTAAATCCAGTTTTATAATGTCCAGAAATAATTTCTCATTGTTTTTGAAATACATGTATTGTTATTATACACACCCTAGTCAAGTATTGTGGTGTATTCAGAAATCGCTATGCTATCTATCTTAATGTCCATATTACATACAGTCATCCAACTTTGTGTCAGGGCTATAACTTTTATAACACTAGAAGGTGATATTTGAAACAATGATGAGGACCTTTAGGTGTGTCATGCTCTTAATTTGAATCATTTTATATTTTAGAAGGATCTTGAATCAAAACTGTGATTTTTTTATTATTTGGAGCAAAGATTGAAAAAAAACTAACTGATATAATGTTGCTTATGACCCAAGAAAGTGTCATGACTAGGTCCCTATCTCTTTGTTCTTGACCTTAGAGTGAATCTTGAGTTGGAACTTAAAGTTGAACATGATTTGTAAAAGGAAGAGTTATATATTTTTTTTTTTTTTTTGCTATATACATGTATTAGTTTTCTCAAGCCTGTCATTTTTCCAACCGCCATATTATAAGCCTTAGCTTTGTTCAAGGCTCAATGTATTTTGCTTCATGGATTCTACTTAAGCACATGTCTCCATCATTGTCATTGTGAATTTCTTGGTAGTGACAAAAATGACTTGTGTATGCCTCTGCCACATCATGAAAAAAGTCATCAAAAGATATTTGATATCAACTGCACAGGTCAATGAATTACAAAAGTGAAATAAACACAAATGCACCTTCAATGAAATAAAATGTAAATAAAAAGGACATCATGAGATATACATGTACTACACCCCACAGCTAAAAGCAATCAGGTGTATCGAATGCGAAGGTTTATATACCCCACTGCTGATATAGGAGATAGGAAATCTAATATGGTGTATGCTTATTTATGAGTCGTGTTCAGCTTTAAGTCATTTAGACAAGTTCACTAGGTTCAGAAGTTTTGAATTTTGTCCTGGCTAAAATAATTTATGATAGGTATTTTAGAAGCTTATTCTTGTGAAATACATTGCTTTATACATGTATAACCAGAAGATGTTTCATAACTTAAAGCTAAAGTTGCATATCAGACTGAAGTTATCATGGTATGAGAATGTAAATATTTAGAAAATTGCCTAGACTTTTCTGGGGTTGGATGGGGGTAGGGGTTCCTATTTGGAAAACTCTAGTTACTGCTTCACCTAAAAGTACAGAAACTTATCAGACTCATTTTTTTTTCTTCATTTAAGCACACACTGAACATTGCAGGTCTAGTGTTCAGTTACCTTTCCAAATGCATTTTCTTTGGATTTTCCAAAGAATTCAGTTTTTGTTGGAAAAAACTCTAATCCAAATCATCTAAAAAATGATTTCTAATAAAATTTGCTAAAAATACAGCAAAATTAAACGTTCTTTGTTTAGGCCTCTGAGATTATGTGGCGAGACTCTGGGAAGCTGAATGCCACCAACAGTGCTTTGTCACGAACAGCCATCTTGGGAACTCTTCAGTACCACACAATAGGAACTGTGATAAAAAACACACTGGACATCTGTAATATCACACACCCAGATCCAAGGTACATTTATGTCATCAAATTAGTGACCATTAAAGTCTATTTATGAATTGTGAGGTAATAGATTTGTTTGTCTGTATGCTTTTTCAATCAGTCCCACACATCTCCATATTTAATTTGTCTTCATTTTCATTCTAATTGTATGTGTATATGGAATCCGTAAAACCCCTTACGCATGTCATGAATGAGGTCACAAAGAAATATGATTATGAATGGATATATGTGTGTGTGTCATGTTTGTTACTGAAGGACAGAAATTTTAAAATCAAAGTATTTGGAACTGTTAAATATAGAATTATTTTGAATAAAAATATTGAGATATCATTTATTGTATTTTATTCATCTTTGGTAGAAAAACTTCAATAGCATCATAAGCTACCATCCCTGTTTTTTGAAAAGTCATATTTATCTGTCAGGGCTCGACATTAACTTTTTTTCCTACTTGTCCATTCGGACAAGTATCCAAGACATTTACTTGTCCGAACTTCAACTTCACTTGTCCAAAAATTTTTCAATAAAGATCTAATACTGTTAACTTGAAAACTGAAATAAAGTCCATTACACATGACATGTGCTTGATTGATTCGTGATGTCATTGATATTTACAACAAACACATAAAACGAAATTTTATCTAGGCTTTCTGTCCTGACAACAACATAAATGTCCACAAGTGAAGCAAACTTCGTTAAGTTCGTAAGTTCCATGCCTTTTCAGTAGTATGCAATTAGTGAACTTCGATCCCGAATCAATGTGAACTCAATTAGTAGCGATCCCTATCGGGATTGAAGTCCGGTTTTTATGTACAGCTTCTGTCTTGAGACTACCGATTATCTTTCACAGTCGTTCTTATTATTATTTAGAGACTCCTTTACATTAAAATACACTTGTCCAATTGGACAAGTGCCCAGCAATATTCACTTGTCCGCAATTTTTTTTCACTGGTACCGGGCAAGCGGACAAGCGTTAATGTCGAGCCCTGTCTGTATTACACTATTCCACATTAAGTGGTTATTGATTTAGTGAAACTTTGATTCTGTTTTTAAAAGGTTTATTTTAAGTGTGTATTTGAAATCTTTTTCTATCTGTATTGACATTTTTTAGGTGTCGAGCATCTTGTGTTGCATTGACGACAACAATCGCCCTACTTCTTCAGAGAAATGACAGACAAATCAAGAAGAGTGGCAGCTATGACATTGAGGCTGTGGTCGACGAGTCTTTTACTTACGCTTCTAAACTCCTAGTAACTTATGAAGAGGTATGTCTGAAAAGATGCAGTTTTAATCATTAAAAATATGGGTATTTTCCAAGATGCATTAGTCTAGTCAATCTAGCAAAAAGAAAAAATAGATTCAACCTCAAAATAATTTCAACAGAAAAGTATTTATCCTTGATATCATGAATATTCGGAAATCTTTAAGTTTTTTTCTTTCTCAGTCCCATGGAGTTTGAGATAATGAGGTTTGACTGTATCTGTAATAAACTTTTTGCTGGGTACCATATAAAAATGTTTAGTTACATCTGAAAATGCAAATATAAAAAGTTTAATTCACTTCCTCTCTCTTCAAGTAATTCACTTCCTCTCTCTTCAAGACAGAAAAGCGTACCAAGATTCACAATAATGACAAGAGTTATGCCCCTTTTCTGTTGTCTATACAGAAAATTTGTATGCCCCATAATAATGCTTTCCATCTATAAATTTTATTAGATTGTTTACCACATATATATTTTGTGAGTACATGTACTACAGTTTATTTTTTCAAAACAATTTCTGTTGCAATTCCTTGGATGATAAACAATGAATTGACTGGACTATTTGCATAAGTATTAAGTAGAACTGTAAAGGTTAGAAAAAGTTACAATGACTGATTAAAAATGATACCTAAATTTTTTTTGTCTGAACAACAAACAGCTCTTACTTTTTAATAATTATTACAATCATCTTTACATTATTATTTTTGTTAAGAATAGACAATGACACCTTTCCCACCCCAAACTCTAAAACTGTTTACCCCTTTTAAACATTTTCAATAATTGTACATTTTCAGGTTAAGGAGCTGAAGAGAGCTATGCATCCTAGTAATCTGAAGGACCTGAGATTAGATGAACCAGGGAAGACAAACTACACCTATAAAACCCTGGGTGCTGGCTTCTGGGCATTGAGACAGAAAAACTTCCGAGAGGCCATACAAGATATTGTCTTAGAGGTGCTAATCATCATTTACAATGCTTTAAAATTCACAGAAATGAATATTCATGGTTTCTGAAGTTTAACTTTTACAAGCCTATGTCAAATGAATCTCACTAAGAGTTTAAGAACACCGTGAATCATAAATTTAGATTTTACTATAAAAGGTAATTAGTATCTATTTTTGTTCTAATCCGTGTCCATTTGGTTAATCGCTGTAATCATTTTGAATGTTGCATGGAATCATTCTACTTCTGAGTACAAGCAAAATGATGCTGCAAGTGAATTTCGGGTTTCATTGATTTTTTTTAAAGGGAGGTGACTCTGATGCCAATGCTGCAGTGGGTGGGGCTTTATTGGGCTGTAAGCTAGGACTGAGTGCCATACCCAGATCCTGGAGAGAAAACCTGATCCACAGAGAATGGCTAGACATTTTACTGGATAGGTAAACTTTCTGATTTGTTTATCAAATACAATGTATTCATACATGTTATCATATATCTATGTTAATTATGTATGGTTGGATAAACTTTATTGTCATAATTAAGTGGTACTACAAAATAAAACTTAGATTCTGAATGTTATCCATTTAATTTATATTATGTACTTTGACTTTTGAAATTGATTTGCATTCACTTTTATTCACATCCAGACTGAAAGTTGTAGAGTTGTGCTTTCATTCTGTATTATTTTAATGTTTAATTTGTATACATTGCATTTTGTTTTGTAGATATTTTGACATACATGAGGGAAGACACATTAAGAAAGAAACAACGCTGTGATACTGTAGACCCTGTGTGATATGGACAGATACATAGTATCAGATATATTTGGTGCAATATACAATGTAAAGACCAAATGACCTATTTCTCCACATATTTTATTACATGTTTGTATGTTACGTTATTCTTATAGTATTTAAACTTTCTGGGTTAATGTCAGAGCCATGAATTTTATTAAGTATGATATTTTTAGAGTGTACTGTGCTCTCTACATTCCCTCAATCTGTTATATTGTTTGTGCTGTCTTTCTAATGCACCAGTTCCGTGCTGTGATCAGTAAATATGTGGACATCCTCATTTTCAATAATTTCATGTACCAAGTTTGAACATAATTTGTTTGTTGAAAGTTTTCATTGTCTGATGTACATGTAGATTGCCAACTGAAATATTCCAGTGTTATAGTAGTCATTTAATGTTGTTTCCTTGAACAAGGACTTTAATAAGATCCTGATTGTTTCAGACTCTTATTTTTCTATTTCATTCAGGATCCTGTCTTTTTAGATAGCTGCCCTACCCAACTAAACCAAGTATTTTTATATTGTACCTTTTGAACTTTTGGGAGAAGCTGAAGATTTTATGTTGGAATAATGCAGCATCTTTGTACAAAGGATCCAAATGCCTAGAACTATCCTCGGTCTGAAATACACAAGTATTTTCACTATATCAGTCTTTGTGGCTAAAGAAAGCTTTGTTGTTGCCTGCTGTTGTCTTTTTTTTTTTTTTGCAATTTATGCTCTTAGCAGATATTGTTTGGATGCCCAAATTTATCCATATTGAGAAATTTTATAAAGGTCTATATTTTGTTTAAGAAACATTTTTAAAAATCTCTTGTCTTATCTATTCAGTATACTGTTGTATTTTTCCTCTCTTGTAGTATGCTGCAACATAAGTGATGAAAGAGATTTAAAGTTATCTATGTTTGAACTGTAATGTTTGTATCAAAATAGTGATATCAAATGATTTGATTTGTTTCTGTATGTCAGTGATAAATAATAGATTAAGGACATTGGGCAAGGTTCCTGGATATTGTATAGAATTTTTCAAGAACTCTTGAGTAGGTTTAATTGTACTAAACATGCTATATTCTGGATTGTTTAATCTACCAAGCCAACCTTCTTTTTTAGATTTTGTCAAATCAGTGTTTTTACAATTTTCAATGCATTTCCTATGTAAAATGTTGATAAAAGGGACCTACATAATTTTCACCGTATTATTTCTCCTAAACCCACTTATTTCTTGCTGTATAGATGATTCTACCCGGAAAACCCTGACTTGCCAATGTCCTTAAGTTGAAGTGATCCTTTTAACCATATACTAAATTCTGACTCTTAGCTTTCATTGGGGAAAAAAAAGATTGAATTGCTACAGGCTGGAGATTTATATTGTGTGTCATCTATTTAATTAAGATTCAAACAGAACCCCAAGAAAAGTGTCGTTGTTACATTACGTCTGGAAATTCAAGTATTGTTATCATTACTTTATGAATTTATACACATTTAGTCAGTATTTTCTCTTGTACATCACATATTACATGTATGAACATTTTATAGTGAGAAATTGTTATACTGCTTTGTTGAATGTAAATTTGTTAACTGTATACAAACATAAAGAGATTTTTCTTATTTTTGGCTTTTCTTTTTAAATGTCAACTTCACAACAGAATGTGTGATAGGAATCACACTACATGAACAGTTCATGGCAAGAAGTATTTGCAAGTAAAAGAGAGAAAAAAAAAAGAGAAAGTTGCAAAACTCATAAATATTTTAACACTGGGTTAAAAGTTGGTGTACAGTATTTGGAGTAATCATTCAAAGTTTTTACAAGACATCTTCAAAGATAATGCTGGCTCTCAACAGAATACATGTTTAACAGATGGAAAACCTTTGATTATAAAGTGGTTGATTCAAATCAGCTATTAGCCGGATATTAAATATCCAGTAAATTATTTGATGTTGGCTCATTTTTAAAATTGTAGTTATTTGGACTAGATGGAGCCTTGGTAGCTCAGTGGTTTGAGCACCTGTCAACAGTAATTCAATGGTTCTGGTACTGATTCCTGATTTATCTATATTTCTTCATCAATTGTATTTATGAATTTTCCATGTCTAATTCTTAATGGCTTCTTTCCATACTACAGAATTGTGAGATGTCAAAAAGGCAGACAAACAAATAAATGCAGATTTTACTAAACATAAAAAAGTGGGATATAAATTTACTTTAAAGTGATTATTAACCACTCATAGAACTTTATACCATATTTTTTGCAAAAAGTGTGAATTATCTGTTAATGAGAATTTAAAAAAAAAAAATTATTTTTAGAAAGAATCATCTATGTCTACATAGATCTATCTAGTAAAAATACCAAAACTTTCTCCAAATTTTGAAATACTGAAAAAATATATTGTTTGCATGAATTAGCCATTACAAATTTATTTATGTGACATCTTGAAGTAAATATATTTTTTTCTAACTATTTTTGAAAGTTATTTTTGCAAACTTATTTTCCGTAACTAACTATTCCGCATTAGGTAAACCTGCCTTTACTTTATAACAATAGACTTCCTACTTTCCGGTGCCGACCTTGCGAAGCGCAAGTTGCTTCGGGAGAAAATTCCCCTACAAATGGGGGGTTCAAGCAGTAAAAGACGGGTTGAATTTAATGACCCAAACGATCCAATTGTGGTCAGTACTTTCTTATACTATTGGAACCGTTTGGACGAAAATTACAGATTACTAATGAAAGAACTTGTAGTTCGAATTTCCTCTATGAATTTCTAACCATAGGCTTAGTTCGTGTGTTTAACTCCTTCTTTAAAATGCAAAGTATTCGGCGAATAAGCTAATAGAGGGCTTTGTTTTCTGTTTATGTATTAGTCTATCAATCTCTGAGTAATGGTGCAGATTAATACGTGTTAAGATGGAAACAAACTATAAAAGAGTCTCCTGCAGCTGTCTTCAGTTATTCACTGATAGTTTATAATCCTCCACATACACACAGCTATGGAGGGTTCATAATTCTCAAATCATAACTGCTGTATATAAATATATACTTCTGAAGCACATTTTGAAATCATGCAGTGTAATCTTTTGGTTATCTTCACTTGGTAAAAACTAAAAAGCATTTCTTTAATTTTTATAATTAATATATATTATACAGATTTCTCAAGATGTGGCAAAGAGAATTGGAGTGGATCCATACAATCCTGGTAAACCTTGTAAGTAAAGGACTCGTTAGTTAGAAAAATCAAACTGCTTCTTAGGACAAGTCCTAGTCCTCAGTCAGATAGACTGTGGTGTAGTTGCAATGTGGTACTGGAGTGGAGTGGATCCGCTTTGACATGATTTTGAAGAAAAGGAGTTGCATTAAAAATAACCACTAAAGGACCTTATTTGGTGATGGTCAATATCCCCCCCCCCCCCCACCACCACCACCACATATTAAACTTTGATTGGGGAAATCTTAAATTCTAAGTCAGGAAGATATATACAGATTTCAAAACAATAAATATTTTAATCCATTGTGATGTGGTAAGCTAGATATGACATCAAAAAATTATGCTAAATCAACTTTTTACTGATTTTGAAAAAAAAAAAACGGTACATTTTACCTCAGCCCGATAATTTGATTGGAAAATATTGAGCATAGGTCTGCTTCGACTCCATCTTGTGATATAATGTATTGATTGATGGCATCAGTAAAATATGTGATAATAGTTTCTGAGCAAGCTTGCACTCTATAAAAACTAAAGTCAAATTGAAAATTTTTTTTGCATTTTCTCTCTTTTTTTAAAAAAATATTGAGAAAGCTCAATAGTTTGTGACGTCACAGAAACAAAAAATGCCAATATTTTTAACCAATCAATAATGAATTTTGTTAATTCAGAGTTTATTCAGATTTGCTTCATACAGTTTTTACGGTGTGCACATTTCAGGAGATTTTCAAAATTTGACTCTTATGGGGGCAGGGATATGCCTTTACTATATATAGTTCTTTATCATTACAAACCTTTTTGAACTTGTATATTGTATTGTATAAGAAAAAAAAGTTATCACACTTTTTCAATGTTTTTTCCTTGCTTCTTTACATGCCATATTGACATTTGGAACTCTCTTGATTGTTCCTCGTATAAGCATAGATTAGAATTATCTGCCCCTGATCATTTTGCTACATTCCAAATTCTGTCATTAAACTGGTTGAAAGGACAATGTCATTTTGATGACAGAATGTTCTATCTACATGTAGTAAGGAGTTGTATGTTTTATTGATGTCACACAACAGAGTCCAAGTTTTAAACTAACTTTAATGATCTGCAGTATCACAGCATTTATGTTTGTTTCAATTGGTTTTCTAAAAAAAATCATATGATTGTAAATATATGAATTTTTGAAAAAAGTATATTTTTTCATATTTTCATTGTAGCAAGGAGGAAATTGGTAAGTACTTTAACAGTGAAATGTAAAATAAAGTTTATAATAATCATTATGACCTGTACATGTATAACATGTATAGAGATTGATTCAGATTGTGATGTTCAATGAGGTTTTTTTTTCCTAAAATGCATAATTATAAACAATAGATTTGACAATTTACTGTTTATCTCTTTGCCTACAGGAGAGTGAAGAAGAATTGACAGATTTATACAACAGTAAAATCAAAGAATTGGAGGCCAAGGTGATATTTTTTTGTAATGGTTACTAGGAATAGGATATTCATGAATTACTTTGGTCGTTTGTCCTCTTTACAAGAGAAAACAAATTTTAGTGATTAAAATCATGTGGCTGGCATGGAAGAGAAGTAACTTAAGTATGCTAATTGCAAGTAAAATGAATAATTATCTTCAAAACGCAATATTTAAATTCAGATAACAACCATTTAATTCTTGTAAGACTAGTTTTACCTCAAAATAAATTAATTAATGATTCAAGCTTGTCTACTGAAATCAGGAAATTAAAAAAAACCATGCAGTTTATACTATAGTATATTAGCTCTTTCAACAGAGAGTGAAGTATTTGGGGAATCTATTCCTTAGAATAAATCCCATGTCGCTCTTTTCCAAATCTTTCTTTTTTCCTTTATAGAAGAGTTCTGATCAAGGAAATGAATTCTAAACCCTGTTCTGCTTAGAATTCTTTTAAGAATCTAAACCACAGTAATTTTACCTCGTATGATGAATGTCAGCTTTATAAATATTTAATTGTATAGTCACATCTACATGTATCATGAAACTACTTGTTGTATTGAACTTGTTTTGATGTCATTTAGAATGCTGATTTGTTAAAAGCCAGAGTTAATGAATTTGCACAAGCTGTACAAGAAGTAGAAAAGAAATTTATGTAAGTAGAAGAATACATTCACAGTCTTAGTTAAAATTATGTACTTAGATATTTATTGTATGAATGAATTGAAACAAACTATTTGTCTAATACATTCAATAGCCTTCCTTGATGAGCTGTTACATTTTCTTGCAGTAAAGAACCCTATATACATGTAGTCTCTTTTTACAAGGGTTGAAATCCCAAATTGTATACCATAATTAACTAATGTTTTAAGTTCATAGATAACGCAGGTACATATGTATTATCTGACTATATTGTCATTAGTTTAAGCGTCCTCTTCACCAGTATATTGTCTTTCATCTTTGATAAATGTGAGGGATCGTAATAATTGTATATAATTGTTAACTGCATATGTACATCTTCCTTTGCTTGGCAGGAACACCACAGGATCTCCGGTATGTCAGGACCTACAGGACAAGGTTTTCCACTGCTACACAGAAAACAGTAAAAAGACATTGCTATGTTCTGCCGAAGTTAGAGCTTTCTTTGAATGTGTAGAGAGAGCAAGAGCGGTATGTATCACAGTTTTAATGACGATTACTAATGGGTGAAAATAAAATAAAATAGTATCTATAAAAATGTTACCATTTTCTAGAGTACATGTAGATGAGAGTAATTTTAAGTAATGAAGAAATATTAAATATTAAGGAAGAAAGACATTTTATAAAGATGTAAAATACACGTACATTTTTAACTGAGTAAATACAATTTTATACAGAGGAGTTACTCCCCTTGGAATGAAAAAAAATCAAAATGCTAAGTCTTTACAATGCTACTCGTTCATCCATACAGTGTTCAAGATTTTTGTTCTCATTTGATACTAACATGCAAATAATCAAGAAGAAATTTTCCAATTTAGGTTCTGTATATTTTGCAAAATTAATTAGGGCCCCGGCGGGTGCCCTATAGTAATCACTCTGTCTGTCTGTCTGTTCGTCTGTCATTCTTCCGTCCACAAATTTTCTGTTTTTTTCTAATAACTTTTTTTGTAGTTGACCAATTAAGTTCAAATTTGGTATGCTGGTTGAAGAGGCAGTAAGACATATTTTGATGCTAAGTTTGGTTCTCTTTGTCATCCAGTTTGGAGCTGGGGTGGTGGGGTAGATACCTTAACTTTACATTAGAATGAATGCCAGGGCAAAGAGAAATAACTGCTGAGAATGTTCCTATTGTAAACTATGAAAGCTGCAACTAGTCCTATGGGATTAATTAACTTTCCTCTTGAAGAAAATCCAAAGCATTATCTGTTTCTGTCAAATTGAGATTAATTAACACCTCTGTCTGCAAATGAAGTTTGTTTTAATGTTAAGGTCAATTTTGAATGCTGTTTACATTCTCTGAAATGTGGATTTAAATAATGTTCATACTTTATTTTGGTAAAACACACAATGAGTTATGATTTTATTGAATTCTAAAAACAAGATAAACATAAAGATATGTTTTTTTTATTTTTTTGTTTTTATTTATTTATTCTTTTTTTTTTGGCTGCCTTATGTAAATTCAAGAAATCTATTAATTTTAATGGGTAGTCCAATAATAATCTCATTCTATCATTACTGAAAGAGTTCTGATTGTAAACTTGGAAGAAATGGATAAGAGAGCAGTACAATTAATCCCATGGGATTAATTATCTTGTCTGGGGCAGAAAATTTTCCAGGCTTATCTTTATTTGTCACTTTAAGATAAATTAACCTTTGTCCACAACTGATGTTTGTTTTGAAGTTAAGGTCAAGCCTGGCTGATATTTGAAAACACATGCTTTATTCTTGTTTAAATATACATTTAATTGAGTTAGTATAGATGTGATGTTTTTTACTGCCTTATGTAAATACAGGGATACTCTTTACAGGTTGTTGGATATTTAGGAATTATCTTTAAATTTTATAAATACAGTTGTTAATGCATATTCTTCTTCATATATTTTTAAATTAAAATTCTCATTCTGTAAGCTGCACCCTTATATTTCTACCCCTCGGCGGGGCCCTTGCTGACTGGTCAGTTTTCTAGTTATCAATGAGATTTTTGCTCTCCGTTTATTCTAAATGCAAGTGATGATGAGGTGTAGGTTCAGTATTTTGCTAAATATTTTTGGCGTCAACAAGAAAGCTGATTAATATGAATGCTGTTTTTATTTACAGAATGCTCTGATGAGAAAGGGATAAGGAGGAGGAGTCCATTTCATTATTAACTACACTTAACTACACATATAACATAAAGTGACGTTACAGAACCACTATACAATAGTGGTATTGACATTTTAGTTGTGATTATTGGCAATGCAGTAATAAAGTTTGTATTGCATATATACTTTCTCTTGTCTTATTGCTGAGTTACTGCAAAAATCTGGTTCATTAAGGACTATTACAGTATCTCCTTTATAGAACACAGATGAACATGTAAAATGCATTCTTGTACCAAGCAATGAGCATTCACCATGCAATGAGTGTAATATTAATCCAAGAGGAAAGAAATTTTTGCAGTTTCTGAAAGTTCTTGAACAAATTTTACTAAAATGATTTACAAAAGTAATTCCTTACGTATTGTGTCTTTCCATATAGTACATTTGTAACATATTGTCAGGTATGCAATTGATTCTAACCTTAAAGAAGTGTTACATCTTAATCCATGGGAGACAACAGATCTGACTTAAAGCAAGAAGCGAAACATTTCAATTTTAGCTCACCTGAGCTGATGGCCACATGCCAGTAAGCCTTCTTCTGGCAAGGGGGTTCAAGTTTGTTTACACAAAGAGCCAATCCTTCTTTCAAGGGAAGATAATTAAAAATTAGTGAAAATTTAATGGTATCTTTCAAAAATCATCTCATCAAGAACCATCGGGCCAGAAGATAAAACTTTAATAAGTGAAAGCTTCATTACATAGTACCCCTGGGGTATAGGGCCACACTGGGTGATCAAAGTTAACATAGGTTTATAATGGAAAATCCTTCTCAAGAACAGCAATGCCGTGGTTTATCCTTAGGTACCGTAGATTTAAGTTTGTACAAATCATGACCCCTTGGGGGTAGGGTGGGGCCATAATATGTGATCAAAGTTTTACAAAGAAGTACATGGGAGAACTCTAGTGACTCAGGTGAGCATTGTGGTCCATGGGCCTTTTGTCTGTGAATGCTAGAGCACTTCAATGCAGAAGCAACCATATCATAATATCTGCCACACTATTTACATATTAAAGAACAAGGGCGCTTTTGATTGACATTTGGCAGGAATCAGGGCGCACTTGAAAAGTAAAAACTTTATTAAACTGTAAAATTAAAATTTTAACATTCTTTTGATGTCTCATGTTCCTATGAAATAACAAAGGAAAACATTTTCCCAATAATGTGTTTCGATTTCCTTAGAAATAACTTGAAACATGGCTTGATGCGTCATTTGGTACAAAATGTTTCATTTTTAAACATTTTTCGAAAACTTTGTTATCTCTGGGTCATCTCTCCACGATTTAAAAAAGACTCTTGTGTGCATTTGTATTCAAAGAAACGAACAAACATTGGTAAAAAATGAAGAGAAGACCCACAGACTATAAGAAATGAACTTTTCCAAAAAAAAAAAATACCAATGTGTAAATGCGTTGCTTCTTTGTCATTTTAAATTCTTGAATGTTTATATAGCGATGATAGCTCAGTAGTATGAGGTAACAGTCCAGCACACTAAGGAGTCGAGAAGTTTTTGGTTCGATCCTCGCATGGAGCAATTGATGTTTTTTCTTTTGTATACAAACAATCAAGTGAATTTTATTTACTGATTTATAAGTTTTAAAAGAGATAAATTTTGGTTCAGTTGCACGGGGAGCGAAAGCAATTTTTCAAACCTACTGAAACTTAATTCATTTCATATATCTTTGAAAGTTATTTCAATTTAAATCTAAACATTTTCCAATGTGCATAACTTGGTAAAGTCTGTCCACTTCTGGTCAGCCGACCAAATCGTGCACATTTAAACCATAAATGTTTCGCACACGATTCCTGCAGATCACATGCCAAGTACACCCATCTTCTTTTATCATGCTTTCAATTACCTGAAACATTAACAAAACATCACTCCAAACTAGATGAGCACCATATAATTTATTTAATTTCAACCAGCCATTATGCAGACTTGTAACAAGGAACAAAAAAAAATCATAACAACCATTTAAGAACAGGTTTCTGATTTTCATAAAGCTGAATTAAAAATTTTCCTAATCTGACCCAAAGAAAAAAAATCATAACAACTGAATTATATAATACATAACAGGAGTTCAAAATGAACCTTGAAATTACAACAAAGGAATGTAATGAAAAAAAGAACACAATGTAAATATTTATAGAAGGAGAATGGATTTCATATCATGGACAATTATACAACAAAACCAAGAATTTTAAAATTTCACAACCACTTGTCAATATTACATGTATGTTAATGCACAACCACTGGGAATGAAGAATGAATGAAACAACAACAACAACCAAAAAAACCCATGAAATCTGAGTGATTACAACAAGAGTCATAATGAAATCATAACTAAATACACATTCCAAGGGTGATCACTGCATTATTAAATCAAATAGTATCACAAAATGACTCTGGGTCCCTCTTTAAAGTTTTTTGAATAAATCAATTTAATAATACAGTTTAAGATTGCCTAAACTTTTCAAAGATTGTAATAATCAATTGGTCCACTTCCAAAAACATAATATCCCATCTGCATTTTTTAAAATCCTGTTAAAAAAACAATCAAGTGATTTCTGCTTTGATATTCAATTCAGATATATAAAACAGCAGCCATTGTATCACCAGATTATGGCTATTAACCAGTGTCTCAATAACTCCAAATCTCTCTCTCTCTCTCTCTCAAACAGTCAAGTTTCATATAACTTGACCCCAGCTGTGAAAACAAAATCTGTTACACTACTATCAAAATAGATAGAATATTCCAAATGAAAAACAAGTAAATTAGGGAGAAACAAATTGAATAAAAAAACCCAAAACTATAAATCCTCACAAGGAATTAGAATTCTTTTTCCACGAGACAAATACCAGTGTTTTCCCTTCATTTCAAAGCAAAAGGTTAGATATCAATTGTAACAGGCTTTGGGTTAAAGTTTATGAAAAATCTCTGTGGACCTTACAACAATCTAATTTTGATTTTTTAAAATTTATATATATATTTTTATTCTGAAGAGGCATTTTTATCAATTGAAGTGGTCAATTTGGCCGGTAGCCAGTTCTTAGGGAAAACACTGAAATACACTGTATGAGATCAACACTGATGGGTCTACTTAGGTTCAATTGTAGTAAACTTTATTACAACAGCACTAAACAAATAGATAAGCATTGTTATACATTAGGTCATACCTAATACAGGTCGGCTTACAATGATAAATACTATAATGATCGAGATTCACATAGCAGAATAAATCTTTTTAAGGTATCCAGATTTTTGAAGATTTGAATTCAAAATAAAATGTTTAGATATTAAACATGCCACAACTCTATAAAAGAAAACAAATAGTCCAATAACTCTGTAGAGATTTTGAACCATGAAGATATAAAAGTACATATCCATTGAGGTTATAACCAGAGTTATACTGAAAAGGAGGAGCGAATAGTTACACGATGTACAGTATGCAGCACTTCGAAATCTGTCGTGAGTTATCTATATAGCTTACCCAGAAAGAAAATGTTAACAGCTCTGCACAAATTAGGATGAGGTAGTACACATTGTAAAACTGTACTGTAATAAATGCCCCTTACCACAGGGGCTGGTAACCTGTCAACAGACTGATCCCCAGTGTGTACATTAAGTGTCCAGCCCCTGTGCCACTTAACACCAATACTTATGAAAATTTCAATAAACAACTCATGAGGAAAAATCCAGAAAATAGAACCCAACACCAATAAAAAAAAGTAAATGGATTTCTTTTTGTATATAAATAGTTATACTATTATTTAGTGAAGAAAAAAATAACAATAGATACATTTTAAAAAAAAAAAAAAATTGAGCTAGAACAATGTAGAATACATGAAATATACTTAAATTTTAAATTGCACACAACAGCCACTTTATGTCTAAAAATGTTCTTATTGACTAAGACAAACATGTAAATTATCTCCCTTTTTCAAAAACAAGCATTCTCACACACAAAAACAAAAGTATAAACTGAAATATTTTGGAACAAAATCATACATACAAAAAAAAAATTCCGTACACTTATTTGCTCCACAATGTGCGTCGTTTAGATTGCTTCTCCAATTCTTTAAATGTTGAAGTTTTGTACAGTCCCAGTTTGATTCCAGTCTTGGCACGATTCTCATTGATATGCCTCACTGGAAAAGGATTGAATGGTTTCTTTATTGCACACAAGGGAGACTGAGAATGGCTTGGAGATTTAACGTCACTAGACCAGGACACAGATTTTCCTGCTGTTGGACTCACATTTTCACCAGGAAAGAATCTTGGAGACTCAGAATCATCAGGACTGAAAACCGAACCAGAATCTGAATCGGTCAAATGTTTGGAAGCATTAGACTCAACACTACAACTGGACATTTTGCGCTTTGAGTGTGCATACTGAGCTAAACTTAAACTCTGGGACATGGTAATAGCCCTTGAATTTGACCCATAGCTAGTCCTCCTCATTTGTTTTTCAACATTCTGTCCAGAATAAACACATTTTTCATCTTCACTTACAGAATCCTGAGAAATGCTTCGTAGAGGAAGATCCATCCTCCTGCTGTCCTGCCTCACATTTTTAGGAGAGTTTTCACTTGGATCCTCCTGTGAGTTTTCTGTTGGATCCTCCTCCTCCTCCTCCTCAGTGCCTTGTGTCAGCTGACTGGAACAAGCCTGGATCATATCATCAATCTCCCTCATTAATTCTTCCTCATCGGAGTCTGGCTCCATGTATCCCCTATTCCTCCTCTGGATACAATTCTCATTGAAATCCTCCACACTACAGTCACTTGACTCTACAGAGATCTGACGGTCCAGGGTCTTCAACCTTCCATCTGCCTCGATAGAATTTCCACAACCATTGTGTACTTCCTCATTTTCTTGTACCCCATTTTTCTGTTCTGAACAACTGGCAATTCTTTCATCTTCATTTTGATTGGCACCACCTTCCTCATTAGAAACAAGTCCATCAGTTCTTTCTGAAGCACCTCCTTTTTCCTTTTCATTTACAGAATTTTCCCCCTGTTTTCCCCTTTCCTCTTCCTTTTCCTCTCTACTAATCTCTGATGCCTTTCCTGACTGATTTTCTGTCGTAATGTTTTCACCACTGACACATTTCTCAGAATTCACTGGAGGTTCTGTACTGTCTGATTTTGTAGTAACTATTTCTTGTACATATTTATTTGGGGTTTTCTGTTCCTTTTGTAGAAATTGAGGTACCATCATCACTTTCCCACCCCTGAAACAAGAATAATATATTCTTTTACACTTTTTTATATGAAAGAAATTTTCTCCTTATCAAACAAAAGTATGAACTTCAATAAATTGCAGTAAGCATATTCATTGTTGAAACTGAAAAATCTAGTTAATACACCTGTTATACTTGTATCTTTCCAATTCAATGGAAATGACATTTACCAGATTCTGAATATCTGTATCTGATGTGTCTTATATTAGATCTGACTAAGTTACATTTCCTGTACCTGTTTCTGGCATGGCTAACATTAGGAAGCATGGCCTTGCTAACGAACAGATGATTTATGGCTCTTGGTGGTTCCATTTTTGGAGTTAAAGCTTTCACTTTGGCCTGCTGCTTGGCCGAGGCAGCTACAAAAGAAAAATTTATGATAAGTAAAATTACTTCTATGTTGTTCATTAAAGCCTTTCTTAGTAATACACAGGTATATATACAGAGTATCCATTAAAAGTCTTAATCTACTGAAATACATGTAACAAGAGCCAGTGTCTGCCTCTATATGAGGTTGCTGTACTGACCTGCTATAATAACATGGACCTGTGTCTGCCTCTGTTTGATTTTACTGTACTGACCTGCTATAATAACATGGACCTGTGTCTGCCTCGGTTTGATTTTACTGTACTGACCTGCTATAATAACATGGACCTGTGTCTGCCTCTGTTTGATTTTACTGTACTGACCTGCTATAATAACATGGACCTGTGTCTGCCTCTGTTTGATTTTACTGTACTGACCTGCTATAATAACATGGACCAGTGTCTGCCTCGGTTTGATTTTACTGTACTGACCTGCGATAATAACATGGACCTGTGTCTGCCTCGGTTTGATTTTACTGTACTGACCTGCTATAATAACATGGACCTGTGTCTGCCTCTGTTTGATTTTACTGTACTGACCTGCTATAATAACATGGACCAGTGTCTGCCTCGGTTTGATTTTACTGTACTGACCTGCTATAATAACATGGACCTGTGTATGCCTCTGAGTTTACTGTACTGACCTGCTATAATAACATGGACCTGTGTCTGCCTCTGTTTGATTTTACTGTACTGACCTGCTATAATAACATGGACCTGTGTCTGCCTCGGTTTGATTTTACTGTACTGACCTGCTATAATAACATGGACCTGTGTCTGCCTCTGTTTGATTTTACTGTACTGACCTGCTATAATAACATGGACCAGTGTCTGCCTCTGTTTGATTTTACTGTACTGACCTGCTATAATAACATGGACCTGTGTCTGCCTCTGTTTGATTTTACTGTACTGACCTGCTATAATAACATGGACCTGTGTATGCCTCTGAGTTTACTGTACTGACCTGCTATAATAACATGGACCTGTGTCTGCCTCGGTTTGATTTTACTGTACTGACCTGCTATAATAACATGGACCTGTGTCTGCCTCGGTTTGATTTTACTGTACTGACCTGCTATAATAACATGGACCTGTGTCTGCCTCGGTTTGATTTTACTGTACTGACCTGCTATAATAACATGGACCAGTGTCTGCCTCGGTTTGATTTTACTGTACTGACCTGCTATAATAACATGGACCTGTGTCTGCCTCGGTTTGATTTTACTGTACTGACCTGCTATAATAACATGGACCTGTGTCTGCCTCGGTTTGATTTTACTGTACTGACCTGCTATAATAACATGGACCTGTGTCTGCCTCGGTTTGATTTTACTGTACTGACCTGCTATAATAACATGGACCTGTGTATGCCTCGGTTTGATTTTACTGTACTGACCTGCTATAATAACATGGACCTGTGTATGCCTCTGAGTTTACTGTACTGACCTGCTATAATAACATGGACCTGTGTCTGCCTCTGTTTGATTTTACTGTACTGACCTGCTATAATAACATGGACCTGTGTATGCCTCTGAGTTTACTGTACTGACCTGCTATAATAACATGGACCTGTGTCTGCCTCGGTTTGATTTTACTGTACTGACCTGCTATAATAACATGGACCTGTGTCTGCCTCGGTTTGATTTTACTGTACTGACCTGCTATAATAACATGAGCCTGTGTCTGCCTCGGTTTGATTTTACTGTACTGACCTGCTATAATAACATGAGCCTGTATCTGCCTCTGTTTGATTTTACTGTACTGACCTGCTATAATAACATGGACCTGTGTCTGCCTCGGTTTGATTTTACTGTACTGACCTGCTATAATAACATGAGCCTGTGTCTGCCTCTGTTTGAGCTTGCTATATTGTTTCTTCAGTGAGCCTATGTCTGTACACATCCTCTCCAGATACACAGAGGAATTGTTAGATTGATTCGAGTCTCCACCCATTCCATATGCCCCAGGACCCACCATTGAAATGTCTGCTGTACTGCTGTTCGGGTCATGATCAGCACCTGCAATTAGACAAAAAGGAATTTATCAAGTAGATCCATGAACACTTCATTAAAATTCTATGCCTATTTAAAAAAAAACAATATTTCATGCTGTTGTCACAAAATTTGGTGATCTACAGTAATATGGAGTATTTCTGCCATTTGGTTACCTTTTCCTTTACTGGTCCCACTTGCTGGCATGATGCCAGTAAAACAACTTATGGCTTCAAGGTCATCTTCATCAAGGTCATCCTCATCGCTAGGCAACATGTTGTTGGCCCCTGATCTCCTGTTAGTGTTTGAAGCACTAGTGAAGGGTCTTATATTATAGGTATATTTCTCTCGGAGTTCTGGTAATTGTTGCATGGGCAAAGGTGCACATGCATATATGAACTATAAAATCAGAAAATTTAATATGAAGTTACTGAATTTTCAAAATTTAAAATCCTTTTTGGGAAACATTTGAAATTTAGTTTGTGAGTATTTTTTGGAAAGAGTTACATGTACTATCAAAGTCAAGTAACAAAAACAATGTCTGTCTTTGTTTTTTTTTTAATTTATCTTTAAAAGTTTTAATAAACAGGAATTCAAACTAGCCAGCTTAAACTGTAGAGAGAAATTCTTACTTTGATTAAGAGATCAGCATTGAAGATTCGTCCCTCCATTGTTTCCTGAGTAAGTGTACCCATTAAGGAATAGAACTCATCTGCACTGCTAGCAGACAGAATCCTCCTATAAAATCAATTTTACAATCATAGCAGTCTACTTGAATTTCAATGCATATAATTTTTCAAAATCTTTTGACAGTATGTCAAAACTACTCAAATCTGAAAGCTTACAGAGGTATACTTTTATATCAGAGTAACTACGTTTCATCTTTATATCATAACATTTCTCACTGGAAACTAAAATTTTCTACCAATCATATATTATTGTATATATGACTATATACTTACTTGGTGAGTTTTCCCCAGATTGCCAGAGCAGTTCTAAGTAAAATCTCGGAGCCCTCCAGTAAAATTGAGTCCCAGACCCTCAGTACAATATGTTTTGGCAGACAGGTGGCAAAAAGAGTCAGGAACCATTGCATCGTAAATACATTTGTCAGTGGGGGCTCATAGTTGGCACCTAGAGTAAATTAAACTTCCATATTAGCAACGTAATGGTGCTATTAGTCAAATGATATGGTTGTTACTTTGTAAATCATTTGATTTCTATGAGGATAAAAAAAAATTGCTGATTAAGAGCAAGCGCTGAGGCAGTTCACTGCAATATCAATCAATTTTGATGAAAATGACCATTGAAAAAAGACATAAACACAGATTCTTTAAGTTTATCTAGCAGTGAGAATTTGCACTATAAGTGTAAATAGGTACCAGCTTCAGGTGATGGTTACCTTTATGAGTTTGAGAGAGAGATGTACCACTTACCTGTGGTCTTGTCCTGGGCAGCACTCTGGAGGTGGTCTAGGTGTTTTGATAGCTTAGGAAAAGTCACCCTCAAAAGGTCCCGGAACACTGCCATGTCAACTGACAGGGCCCTCAAATTGTGAGCATAGTAACCCTCAGGTAACACATGGTCTATCAGGTAAATCATCACCTGTAAGAATAACAGAATCAGCATCACTTCTAAACCCTTATTCAATTCAGCATTTAGGAACACGAGTGTTTCTCTTCATATTGAGCTTTATAATTTAAGGAGTTAAATCCTTACAAAGCCAACCTGGGGGGTCTTAAGGACTGGTGCTTATACATGTACCAAGTTCATGTGGTGCTAAGTGGACAATCATTGACCTGATCCCCCTGGATGGTACACCAGTCCATTTAAGAAATAAATAACAAGTTAAAAAGTTCACTGGCAAATGAACTTGGTTGGTTACATGATCAAATCCTGTAAAGCCCAAGGGCTTCTTGGTTGATCACATACCAACCAAGTTCATTTCCTAGTGAACTTTTTAACCTTGTTTTTTATTACTTATATTTAGGTTTGAGAGATTGATAAGGTAAATTTCGGTGAATTTAAATATTTGCTCTTCATTAACTTGAATGGGCATCTGTTGGTTGACTAAAATATCCATATCTTTCAGTTATTTTATCTCTGTCATCACTATCAAGTTAGAATTTCTAAAGCCTGGTAAGTTCCACTGTGACAGAAAATCATTGAGCATTGTGATTCGGTCATGTTGTGACCTCTGACCCCCTAATAAGTTCATACAGAATTGAAGATATTTGCTCTTCAATAAATTCATCAAAGAAAAATATTTGCAAATGCAAATATTGCAGGTTAACTACCAGCAGAATGTAAATCTAGTATCCATTTTAAGCTTGGTAAGGACTAGCTGAGACAATTCAGATGAAATGCCTTGTACATAGGACACAACACACATCAAGCCCACTATGGGATTTGAACCAGTGATTACTAGCCATGCACACATCTGTGATGACTGAACTGTTTTCTCTACTAACAGCTCATATACAATGTTATTCTGTTTTAATATAATTAAAATAGGAATTTTGTCGCAAATATGTTAGAACCTTAATTCATGAAAATCAGCTGTGATGATGCGGCAGCTTTATTACCCACATACATGGATGCATACAACTCTTCCTACATAAGGCCAGCTCAGATTTTCTGTAGCAGCTAGATTCTGAATGGCATTCAACTGATACAAAAAGCAAAGCCTTTCCTAGACAGTTTGGCTGGAATTTCTATTTTAAAGCAGAATACATGTATAACTATTAAATTATTGTGTTCTGAATATAACTCACTGTAATCAATAAAAGATTTCATGGAATGAAAAGGAAGACCCTATATGGCATTTCAGGAAAAAATGCAACAAATGTATCAACTTAACCAGTATCATGTCTATAGGTGTTTTATAAGACATCATTCTATATTGTCAATTTGGAAACAGGTGGTGTCAGGAAGGGAATGGGGGGGGGGGGGGGGGGGCATCAAAAGATCTTTGAGCCAGTCCTAATCTGGAATGATGATTCATATAATTCTACAGTAAACTTAATTATTCTAAGACAACTCACTGACCAGATAATTGATAGGTGAAAGAAGAATGACATTGTTACTTTCACATCACATGCAATTGGCCTGAAAGAATCCCTCCGAGTCTCTGTCAGAGTCCAGGGTTTTATGTCAATCAGACATGCAAACTGGTACAAATTGATTACCCAGGAAACTTACCATTACTCATCAATACAGTAATACTGTCGTATTGTCAGAGGAACTGATGTAGGAGAAGTAGAATATTCTTGTTGCTACAGTGTATATATACTGACCAAACATTAACATTTTAATAAATATTATAAATGTTCTTACATTTAATCAACATCATGTAACGAAAGTGTAATCATTATGAATTTGCTTGCTTTACAGGACCTGATACAACAATGGAATATGAAACAAAGTAAAATCTGGAAAAAAAAAATATTTCTATCCCTATATTTAAAAAAATTGTAAATACTTTGATGAGTCAAATCTTAAGATATTTCAACCCGGAAAAATTAACCAAATGTTAATAGGGATATCTCTGAAAAATTCACACCAATTTCCTCCAATATACATTGAAATATATCCTCAATACTTAATGAATGAATGTTGTTGTCTTCAGTCACCAATGTAACAGAAGAATAAAATTGCATGCCTATTTCTTACATGATTTCCCCCCTCAAATTTGAATACCATGGTAATTACATATATATATATATCTATTTTAACCAAAAATGTTTTAACATGATGGTGAAAAGCATTCCATCAAGAAAATAATATACTTATAAATTGAAACACAAGTCTTAATTGATATCTTTTAAAATATTTCATATTCAAGACCTTGTCCATTCTATGAATCTTGATTAGCCACTTGAATAAATGTTAACAATTATTAACAGATTCTGATGGAGATACATTTAAGCTTGCACAGGTTTTAACAGACATCAATGAAAGCAAATCAAAACAAAAAACAGAATCATTACAGTAAAATTTTATTGCTATTTGGTCCTCCAGGTTTGATCATCATTTTAATTAATCTTCAATCAAGTTCAAGTTCAAGAAATTTTTTAAGGTACAGAATTAATAAATGTTTATACAAGAAAGAAGTCGACAACAGATAAAAAGCTTTTACTTGTACAATAAATTCCCTCATGAGAAATTAAGTTCCTTTGATACGGGGAATATCAATAAATTATTGCCACACAATGACTATAAACAGATCCTCTTACATTCCTTGTCAGTCAGCTCAACTAATTTCACATAATTATCCTGATGACGTAGCAGCTTTTTTTACCCATGTACACAGATGCACACTTCATTTTCATCAATCTAATACTAAATGTACTGGTAAAAGTATACTAATTAATAAGAAAAAGTGTTAAACTTTTTTTTAAGTAGATTTGTTTATTTTATTTTGTGTGTGTGGTGGTGGTGGTGGTGGTGGTGGTGGGGGAGGGGGGGGATGATGTTGAAAATGTGCCTATTAAGTGGCACATTTCATTAAGTGGCAATAAGACTGATGATCTTTACTAATCTACAGAGTTTTATTTGATGTCATTACCTCTTTGATTATTATTCCTTTATGGCTTTACTTGTACAAGTTATAAGCTTTATATCTAACAATTTTAGCTTTTCTTGGTTGGAATTTATTACATACACACTTTATCAATTTTCATAGTAAATGTAAGTGTGTGAATGTCACACAAACTCTTTGGCTTCAGAAAAAATCCAATTTCCTGCCAATCTCCCAGGAAGCCCAGGTTTGTCACACAGAAGGACTGAATGGGTTTTCTATGAGCGTGATAGAATTGCAACCACAGCAAAAATTTAACTAGAGCGATATTCAAGGGATAGGCATTTTTTTACTGAAACAAAAACTTAATTATAGCTGAGCAATAAGGAATGGTTGCTTCCATCAGATCCCTTCCATCGAAAAATTGTTTCCACAAGAATTTCATGGTTTGCTGTGTTTTAGTCCGCAGATAACTCTCAAATTTTCAGACTTCCATCTCCGCCTACCTACTCCACTCATTGTGTCCCATATCTTTTTATTTTGATATAGATTTTTTTTAAAAAAATGGGGGTGGATGGGGGATTGGCACTGTATAGGAAGGAAGTCAGCTAGATATTTTTTTTTGCTTTGACAATTTTACTAAATAACTGTGACCTTTAGACTATGTGTTAAATAGAAATGGTTACCTTGGAAACAAGTAATAGATCAAATGACAGAGAGGTGTTAATATATATTCATCCTACAGATTTCTCACTATTATCCCCCGTAATTATACAGAGCTTTATGGAGAGATGTTATAGGTATTGATTTCTGTATACTCTTAATAAAGCTACATTGAACCTTACATCACTGACTATTTAATTAAATATCTATAAGGTTTTCTGTTTCCCAAGATCTTTAGCATTGCATATTTAAAAGAAAGAATGTTTCACCGATTTTTTTATACTAAATAATTATCTAAAGAGATTCAAAATTATTAGCCATGGAAATACACAAATCCGAGGGTGATTTAACAAAAAGTCTTAAACTTGTCTAATTCTTTTTATTAACCTTGTTAAACTATTTTGACACTGTAAAATTGCTTGTCAGTTAATTCTTGCAGTTATGATACTGTAGTTAAGCTAAACAGACGAGATGATGACATTTCTTCCTCAGATCTTCCCTCAGACTCAAGGACAACTAAGCTCACCTGTACCATGACTACAGAGTATGTCATTTTAATCATCAAATATTTACATTTCCAAACATTTTTCCTTAAGATTCTTTGCAAATTAGAAAAAGTTCATGTTCTCATGAACTACCGTGGGATGAGTTAGAATATTTTCATTGTAATGTGACTGGAGTCAAAAAATAATGCAGACTTTTTTCTTCAAAAATGATCGTTGAATGACAAAAATATGTGGCAAGTCATCAGAAAAATAATGTAAATATAAGATATGAATTTAATTTTTTAGAATTCATGAGGTACATGAAGCTAATGCGCTTCATGAAATATGCCGGTGTGAAGCGTCGTAGTTCATGTCCTCATGAATTCTAAAAAATTAAATTCATCTCTTAAATAACTCATGAGCCTTGGTCAATATTTTTTCCAATAAAAAATTGTACCATATGATAAAAAAAGACCATTCAGCAAGAGCAAGATTGAAGAATATCTAAAGGTGTTGGGGTTTGAGGGGGCTTACTTGTGATAAATAAAGAAAAAGTAATCAGAGTTTTCCTCTTCCATGCAATTAGTAAAAATTTTTTGTTTACAAAATTATCTCTCCATGACCATTCTCACTATAAAAGTCAGAAATATACCACACCATCCCAGTCTCAATTGCCTAGCATACAGAATGAAATTTGGCATCAAAGTAATTCTTACTATTTGATGAAACAACATACCAGATTTGAACATTACATGATGATCATGGGGGAAAATCATTAAGAAAAATGAGAAATAAGTAAACAGATGGATAGATGGATTGTCCAACAATGCCTTGAGGGTCCCTAATAATTTCTCATCCTATTAATCTAATATTGTATTTATAATGAATTTATGTTGCCTCTCCCTTTACTTTTCTTTAATATTATGTGTATTCAAATAACTAAACAATGGTACCTCTTCAGACTTAAGAATTTATGACAGTTTATTCTGTAGATTCCTAAATATATGCGAGAAATTCATTATGGTGTAATTATGCAAGAGACATCAACTGTGAAATAAAAATATTCACTTTTATTTTTATAAAGCTGAAATACATGGAAAAACCCTCTATAAAATGTCCATTTGCGAATTCATAATCTCACAATTAGGCATCTACGAGTCATTTTGCAATATAAAGTTCTTGCCAATGCGTAAAAAAAGGAATCTACAGTAATACAGGAAGACATTTTTCACTGGGTTGTTGGTTAGAGTACCTGGTATTATGCCAGGGCTATATAGCACTGTTAATGTAAACTTTCTCAGAGCATATTTTCATTCCTCCTTCTAAATTAATGTAATAGCAACTAAGTAAAGTTTCTCCGAGAATTTCAAGAGCAACTGTCATAAAGCCATACATGTACTAAATCTAGAAATCAAATGAGATCTGTCATAAAGCCATACATGTACTAAATCTAGAAATCAAATGAGATATCATCTGTCATAAAGCCATACATGTACTAAATCTAGAAATCAAATGAGATATCATCTGTCATAAAGCCATACATGTACTAAATCTAGAAATCAAATGAGATCTGTCATAAAGCCATACATGTACTAAATCTAGAAATCAAATGAGATATCATCTGTCATAAAGCCATACATGTACTAAATCTAGAAATCAAATGAGATATCATCTGTCATAAAGCCATACATGTACTAAATCTAGAAATCAAATGAGATCTGTCATAAAGCCATATATGTACTAAATCTAGAAATCAAATGAGATATCATCTGTCATAAAGCCATACATGTACTAAATCTAGAAATCAAATGAGATCTGTCATAAAGCCATACATGTACTAAATCTAGAAATCAAATGAGATATCATCTGTCATAAAGCCATACATGTACTAAATCTAGAAATCAAATGAGATCTGTCATAAAGCCATATATGTACTAAATCTAGAAATCAAATGAGATATCATCTGTCATAAAGCCATACATGTACTAAATCTAGAAATCAAATGAGATATCATCTGTCATAAAGCCATACATGTACTAAATCTAGAAATCAAATGAGATCTGTCATAAAGCCATATATGTACTAAATCTAGAAATCAAATGAGATATCATCTGTCATAAAGCCATACATGTACTAAATCTAGAAATCAAATGAGATCTGTCATAAAGCCATACATGTACTAAATCTAGAAATCAAATGAGATATCATCTGTCATAAAGCCATACATGTACTAAATCTAGAAATCAAATGAGATCTGTCATAAAGCCATATATGTACTAAATCTAGAAATCAAATGAGATATCATCTGTCATAAAGCCATACATGTACTAAATCTAGAAATCAAATGAGATCTGTCATAAAGCCATACATGTACTAAATCTAGAAATCAAATGAGATATCATCTGTCATAAAGCCATACATGTACTAAATCTAGAAATCAAATGAGATCTGTCATAAAGCCATATATGTACTAAATCTAAAAATCAAATGAGATATCATCTGTCATAAAGCCATACATGTACTAAATCTAGAAATCAAATGAGATATCATCTGTCATAAAGCCATACATGTACTAAATCTAGAAATCAAATGAGATCTGTCATAAAGCCATACATGTACTAAATCTAGAAATCAAATGAGATATCATCTGTCATAAAGCCATACATGTACTAAATCTAGAAATCAAATGAGATCTGTCATAAAGCCATACATGTACTAAATCTAGAAATCAAATGAGATATCATCTGTCATAAAGCCATACATGTACTAAATCTAGAAATCAAATGAGATATCATCTGTCATAAAGCCATACATGTACTAAATCTAGAAATCAAATGAGATATCATCTGTCATAAAGCCATACATGTACTAAATCTAGAAATCAAATGAGATATCATCTGAGCCTTAATTGCTCTCTCTGTATTAATGTCAGTCTCATCTGCATTATCTATTTCTAATGACACAGAAGCAAACTTGCTACAGTTGCATGTTTAACAGAAGCCTAGGGAAAAAGACAGATCTCTGTACTCTAAGAACAAATTAAGCAGCCTCTGATATGATTCATGGAGCCATTAACCTTCTCTGACAAAGGACAAAGGTATCATTAACTATGCTAGGAGCCATTATTTGTAATATATCTCACTTTATAAGGAGGCCAGGAACTTAGAAATATTGATAAAAAGAATGTTTATGATTGTTCTACTTTTACTTTCTATTTTTACCAAGGCACATGAAATGTCGATTACCACTCAGATAGTGTATCAGTTCCAAAAATAATTAGTTGTAAATATATATATGTGATCCTTGAGTTTTAATGAATTCAAATGAAACATTTGAATAAAGAAGCGTTCAAAATATGTTTACAAATGCCAAACAGATGAACAGACTGACATGAAGAACTTGTACCAAACAAGAAGCTTTTCTGTCTCTAGTATAAAAACAATATACTTTTGTGAATCACAGTTTCGTTATCTTTAACCTCTACAGGACACAGAATCAATTTTCTGCATCCAAAAATTTGTTACATCAGAGTTTGCTAGGATATGACAAGGAAATGCTAAGAATTTTGCCAAGGATAAAAAAAAAAATTGGCTATATGTATTAGTAAATTCATTCATATCCATGTTTGTACTAAATGAGTTACGCTGTACTCTCAGTCCATCCTTCAGTTTTGGACCAATCAATTAATGAAGATTGACCCCAAATAAGATTCCCTGAGAGTTCAGAATGGACAAAACAACATGACATCTGTTACCTTTAAAGCATCATCTTCCTTTCTGTCCATCACTTCCAGTAACATGGCTGCTATAACATTGAAGCCTTGACAATATCCGACACTCTTGTTCCATCTTGCATATCCCAGCAGCACCCTCTTCAGAACTGATCGGTCTTCATCATTTTCTTGTCCACTAAATCCACTACATCCAGTTCTGTGCAAGTCCTGACATAAAATAGATCTTAATGTTTGAGATATTGTTCTTCTATATTTTCCTCTGTTTGTGGTATATTTTATATATGTCTTTTTGATAACTTTGAATTCTACATGTCAATGCAATGCAGTTGTGTAGTAACAATGACAAAATGTGGAACCATGCTGATGAACAATATTCAATTTAAAAATACCATTCAAATATTAGGTGACATAAAGATCCTTGTTTTGTATAGTTGATAAACTACTATAAGGATCAGGCAAAGCATAACTAACTTTCTGGTTTTCAGTTATAATTTAATCGTGGATCAGAGATAATAAACCACTGGATGTAACTTGTATGAACTATATGATCAAGTTCACCATAAACTTGAAATTTTTATTTTCGGCTGCTTGTATTATTTTGAGACAAAAGGGCTAGCATATGTTTCTAGTCTAGCTTATGCTATCAAATACACATATCAGTATCTTATTAAAAAAAATATCAGAAAAAAATCAATGAAATATTAATTAATATGTTAGGTTCTGCATTAGCTGACTCTTTTCCCATGTAATTTTTTCATGCATCACAATATTTGATCTAAGCACATTTGTCAGTTTCCATGATGAAAATATATGAAATGTCATCTTTAAAAAAAATTTCTTATCTAGGAAAATTTTAAATTCAAATATTTGTCTGTCATAACTTTTATTTGCATGGACTTGTAAAATTAATACTTTTGGCATAAACTGCAGAGCATTGTCTGAGGGATAAATATTTATAGAATCTACTACTACCATATGTAGCAATTGTACTCTCTCTCTCCTTATAAATGTATAAAACAGTGGACCATGCTAGTTATGGTTTACCTTGACAATTTGAATCCCAAGAGAATCGTCATCCGGATTACTCCGGTCATTAAATGCGAATCGTACAGTCTTAGTCCAATCAATGCTCTGTTCCCTTATGTAATTATCAGCCAGGCTTAGCCAAACCTAAAACACAGACTCAATAGATAAAACACAATGAAAGGCATTACAGGAATTCATAACCATTACTGCCCGAACAAGAACTTCTGAAGAACTTCCATTTCAATTTTTCATGATAAGCTGACAATTATATTACAATGGTTAGGCATTGATCTTCTACATATAATCAATGTGCAAATTTGTCTGATTTGAGAACTCACAAAATTTGTTTGTCTTGTAACCTGACATAATTGTTCATCAATAATTATAAAAAAGAGTTGTTTTACTTCGTCCATTTATCATTCATTCTCTATGGCACTAAGCAATCATGAAAAAATACTCCAAAAACAAAATTCCTTTTATGTGGTGATGGTTGGTGATGGTCAATTAAAGATGGGTATGAAGATTCAGAATTCCTGACATTATGTCAATTCAAACCAAGCTAGTAATGGATATGCATTAAAGTACATCTATAGACTTAGAAGCTGATGGTAATGTATTTTTCTCTAGACAAGAAATCCATTATGATGGTACATCCTGCAATTGTACAAAAGATGAGCATCCCGCACATGACTGCTGTAGCCACATTTAGCATAGAATAATTTCTAAAATCAATCTTAAAAGATGGCATATGACATAAAAAGATTAAGCCTGCAGTTCTGATAAAGTTCATTATTGCTTATCTTACTAAAATCTTTAGTTTTTCTGTTCATCAGTGGGTGTGTATAAAATTTCAACAGTTGCTAATTCAGGATACAGAAAACTAATTAAATTCTCTCTACAATATGTCTGCTGACTCAACTGGATACATATAACTAAGATATTCTTGACAGGTTAAAAAAAATCCACCTCTCATATCAATCATAAAAAAGTCCAATTCATGTATATCTGGGAAAGTGCTTAAATGATCAAATTCCGAAAAAGTTTGTCAATGTTACTGTGTATACAAAAACTGTATTTTTGGACTTTTTAAACAAAAAGACTCAATTTAAAGTCTCTTAAGGTATTCAAAGTATAATGAAGGGATTTTGAACAATTTTGAATCATTTTATACTAGTTAAAATTGCACTGCTAGATAACGATGAAAGTGAAATGAACCAAATTCACATGACTGATAACATATAAGAAGCTGGTCATTTTGCACTTTTAAAGTTTTTGAAGACTTATCTGCCCTTGATGCAAAGAAGAAAATTTTAATTTCATCAAATATCTGTGTTAAATGATTAATTTTATTTCATATTTTAATAAAGAGAGAGTGTATGCGTATTTTCACCAAGAGCTTTTTATGAAATTCAAAATACTTTTTACATGTATCTTAATAACACATGCATTGCCCATAGACTTCAATGTAAAATTCAAGGTGCAATTAATTTGACAATAATAATTTTTTTTTTAATTTCTTTGGTGGAGTATTTTTATTTCACAACACCATCAAAATGATACCATAATTACAAAATAGGACCTTTCATTTATTAGATACAAAATATGGTCATTATCCATGGAATACCTTAAGAAAATTTGTTTTAAAAATTTCAATGGATAATCAATTTAATGCAAATTCCTTGTAAACCCAGTAGATTATAATTTTACTGTACATAATGCATGTAGATTTCCAATGCTTTCAATATTAATGAATCCATATAACCTGATATAGTTTGAAGATCTAAATTTAGCATACTGCTTTTTAAACTTTTGAATACTTTCATATTTCCAGATTTAATTAGAGAAAGTAAGTCCAGCTGCATAATATATTTTTCTAAATAATAGGCTCAATAGAAAGAAAAATCAACTTAATTAACTTAATTGAATAATATTTACATTTACATTTCCAAATATTTTTCCTTACGATTCTTTGCAAATTAGAAAAAGTTCATGTTCTAATGAACTACTGTGGGATGAGTAAGAATATTTCCATTGCAATATGACTGAAGTCAAAAAATAGTACAAACTTTTTTTTTTCAAAAAATGATCATTAAATGACAAAAATATGTGGCAAGTCATCAGAAAAATAATGTAATGCTAATGCGCTTCATGAAATATGCCGGCGTGAAGCGTCGTAGTTCATGTCCTCAGGAATTCTCAAAAATTAAATTCATCTCTTTAATAAACATTTTGATATAGGAAATTTTCCTCCCAGGGTACGTATATTTCTTTTTCTAGGTGAGTACAAACCTTTTTCCGGAAGCTGTCGGGTATCCCATGTGGCAGTCTGGCCACCGCTCTCATGGCGTCCTTCCATTGGTCAAAGGCACTGGCTCCAGGCAGGGGTTCCAAACTAAATCTGATCCGAGTGTCAATTCCTACAATACATGGAAATAAATGTACCAATCTGTTATTTACCACAAAATATCAAGAATGCAGAATTCTATGAAACTAGCATGTGTAATTTTGAAACAACAAATACTACCCTGATAAGTACTTGTTTTATTATCTTTGCCTGCTGGACTTGAAATTGAGCTCTTACCATCATTATTACTTAGCCAAATTACTGTAAAATCACTTATTTTTGTGGAGTTTGCAGAAAAATTGGTTCCTGGGGATTTGATTTTGTGAAGAAAAGTATTTGAGTTAACTGTTTTACATTTTGAGTAGGACAGGACTTCATGAGTCTCTTTATACCATGAAAACATGCAATGGAAATTAAACTCCAACCAAAAAATTAGTGATTTCACAGTAAATATTTATTATCTTAACAAATTCTAAAAATTATAATTTCTGTAAAACAAGGACTATCCAAAAAAATACCCCCCCCCCCTTTCTTATCTTTTTCTTTTGTTTCTTTTTAGGGGGGAGGGGGGGTCTAACTAGCAAAAGGTCACCATTCAAAATTTCTATCCTAAACATCATTCTGCATGGTAAAAAGTTTTGTTTTCTTTGTTCTTGTTTTTGGATTTCCCCCTTCTGTTTATAATACACAAAATAATAAAAAAAAAATAACAATACATGTACCGTAATTAATTTTTAAAAGTTGCATATAAAAAAGAGGCATAAAAATGAATTCCAAAAAAGTTCCATGCATGTATATTTTTTTTTAAAGTTGCAACCCTAGTCACATGCTGAAAGCAATATGAGCTGCATTTTTGAGAATTTTATTTTGCTGTTAAAATGTTACGATAAATCTGTATGTAATTTAAACCTAATGATCAATTAGACTGATATAATTTTTTTTTTCAAAAGAAAGATTTCTGTACAATGGAATTAATAGTATTATATAACAAATCAATATTGTACAGGATGACAATAATGTAATTTTGCTTCAATCAAAGCTTCTAACTGTAGTTCTTCCATTGCAAATATAAACAATAAAAGTTTATAAACGTTCCTTTTTTTCGTCATTGAAATAGTTAATTACAATCTTGCAACAAATATTTCCAACATCAAAGTTGCAGCTCATATTGCTTTAACTCTTATTTTAATACATGTAATAATAAACTGAACAAAAAAATAATCATTCACTTCTCAACCTGTTAGATAAGGCCAGAATAAAATCTTTCTAAATATGATCAATAGCTCAAAATACAACAATAATTAATATTTTTAATCAGGCAAACATATCCAATTAGGAATTTCAAAAATAAATCAATGTAAATCACAGGCAGTATATTGAAAAATTCTTACAGAGATGATGACAAAATTAACCCATTTCAAATCTTTTACGTCAATACCTCAATACCGCAATGGCACGCAAATAGATTTATTATACACCCCCACACAAATTGACAAGAACAAGGCCATTATTAGCCTAATTTCACTGGTTGATAAAATTCTAAGATCTCTCAGGAAACTAAACCCAGAGAATTAATACAGGGCAAATGGGACTCTTAAAATATCTCGTCGTGACAAAACAGGTACACTAAAACACCATTAGCCAATTCAAACGTTTCTGCTATTCCATTCATGGTAGGAAAAAATGACAGATCTGTAAGAAATAAATTTGGTATAGTGTTGAGGTGGGATACAACTTTAACAATTCGATAGGGGAAAAAATTTAATAATAAACGCACAAGTCACATAAAAGTTGGAGGTATGTCACACAACAGTGTTTAAACTGACTTTTTAAAGTCTCTCCAAATATTTTACCAAGGGAGTGTTCAATTTTGTCTGATAAATTGAATTGGGAGGGGGGGGGTTATTTTTACACTGAAATGGTTTCAGCCCTTACGACACTAGATTAATGGAAATAATACATGTCCGTTAATTATTGAAAGTATCTCTATTCGTGCATGCACGCTAGATTAGAACACGATAATTTTTTTTCATTCGTTTTAGAAAGAATTAAACAGATAATGACGGTCGTAGCCCCTACTCATAATTGTATTTTCAACAACTACGTACCTTCGTTCCCAGATTTTGTCCTTTTGGGTGAAAATGACAACTGTCCAATACTATTTAAAAATCCAAACATCGTTTTAAAAATTCTTTTCACACTGACATAAATGCATTGTCATTGTCTTTAAAGTAACACACAAGTTACAGCAGGTGTAGTGATATTCAGTTTAGATAACGATGTCGTCATAACTCGTTATCCCTGGGGACTATCATAGATTTAATTCATCCACTGTCCAAAAAATCGATAGTTTTGAGGTGTATATGTCATCAACGTTATTATGGAATTCAAACAAAGGTTCCCTTCGATGTCGTGATAATTTCAGAAATATTTCGGTCAAATCTACGGCAGTTTTTCAGAGCAAATCTTGTTTTAATATCTCTTTAATTTCAGTTTTAACTTTTAAAAGTCCGAATATAAAATATCGTCTCCATTTTAGAGTTTTTATCGCCTTCAGTTGTCATTAAAAATCACACATCGGAATGATCACCCAGTCTGTTTGGTAATTTCGCTATCTCTCTGGGAGCCTGTTCGACCCACTCAAAAACGGGCAGCCTCCTCCGGAAACATCGATTCTATGCTCTCCGTTTTCTCTTGGTCTCATCTAAGATATCATGGAAAGAAAGTCCAATGTTCCTTCTATTCACAACACCGCTCTATCAATAGATGTTCTCTAAATCATTCACAAAACTAGTAATCAACGCTCCAGAGGACTTTAAGACAAAGAGTTCGCTCTTTAATAACTATTCTCAAAGACGATCCATTTTTTCTGCGCTTAAGTAAATTTTCCTTCTTTTACAGATGAAGAAAATAATAAAAACAGATAGAGTAACAACATAGTGATCAATATTGGCATCTAAAGGTCAGAACGAGGGTCTAATATCGATATTTTTCTCCGAAGATCAAGTATACCGTGAATATGTACAGTAATGGAATACGGACACTCTGTGAAGTTATTTCCAATCAAAGCATCAAAAAATAAAATTTACAAAAAAAGAATCGAACATTTAGTTAGTCCGGCTTCAGAAGGTGAAAGCCCTGTGGTTATTATCACCTTTCGCTCTGAGAATTTCCAATAATAATGACGTAGGTTAGAGGAGACTTTCGATAACCGTTTACGACAGTGCACGTTTATGGTTTTTCGCTGTCCCTACCTTTGATAAACACCCACGTTTATTAGTAGTGTTTGTTTGTCGAGTATTCTTTGATGAGAGTTGTTCCGACAAACGCGAGGGAAAGACAAAAGTAAACCACTTAGAGCACCTGCTAGAATTCTCAGTATACTGTGAAAACTTCTGTTTTCTATACGAGGTGGATGAAAATAAATGGAAAAACTAACTTAACGACGTCAGCTGAAATTGGAATGGAGACGGCCAAAGTACGGATATTGTTTTGTTTTTTTTTAGCAGAACCATCTGTGAGTAACTATATTTTATTTCTAGTTCAGAGAAATAAACATGATCAGATTATAAATTAAAGTAGAATATTACAAGAACTTGCTGAGCGACACTTTTGTAAATGAAAATAAGAAAGGCCAAATGGCAATTATCACTGACAGATGATACGTTTATGTAAGATTTGTTTCAATGTTTTCCCTCTAATAACTTCTCAGATCCTGAAATCAGTTTAATTAATTGATTAGATGTCAAGGACAGAAAGGGATTTTCAAACATGCATTGCATTACCAATCATTTTAGCCCCAAACTGTAGCCTGCAAGAGCAAAAACTTTGGAGTTCAATTTCATTATATCTGTGGAGCTCATGCTTCACATAATGATGTGTGACTTTATAGTGTCCAGGACCCAGGACCGGCACGTAGTATCAAAAGGGGGGGGGGGGGATCCAACATGACTTTTTTTACTGTTGAAAATGTTCCTTGAAAAGCTGGTGCCACCCCCCCCCCCCTCCCTCCACAGGTTTTAACTGCGGTACAGTTGAATCATGGTGATGTATTAACAAAATTTGGTTATGAAAATAATTGGAACCTAACCCCCCCACCTCCCCTCCCCCAACCCCTTTCCGCACGAAATAGGATTTGTGAGTTTGGACAATTTTTTAAATTTTTTTTTTTGGTCAAAGTTTTTTCCAGGTAAATTGTCACATCCCCCCTTTTAACTTTTCAAAAATACATGTAATACTATGTGCCTGTTTGCATGAAAGAAAACAAAATCAAAAAATTTCATGCATATTCAAATCTTGCCTAAATCAAGTGCACTCATGATTTTACATTTTTGGTAGAGTGGTTTATGCTCCTCATATCTTGTAAATCAACTTTGATGGTTTTGACCCTTGTACATCCGGCCCCATGGACGTAAGAACTACAAAATTTCAAATTTATACTCCCCCTTTACTTATAGAATTGGTAAAATTTGGCTCAGCTGTTTCAGAAAAGAAGTTCAAAGACTTTTTTTGTATATTTCTATGCAATATTCTGAATCTCAATAATGACAAAGATTCAGTAATATTTTAAGGTGCTTTAAAGTAATTTTCTGATTCAGAACATTATTGTTGTGGTTTGTATGTGGAATGTTTATCAAGAAGTTTAAAAGGGAATTTACAGTGGCAGTGATTTTACCATGCAAATACTCAATGGTATACAGAACCTAATATCAATGTGGTTTCACCTGAATATTTTATCATTCAGAACACTGTGGCAAAATTAATTTATTCTGCTTTGAATCTGCTCTTCTTAAAGATCTCAATTTTGTATTGATCATATTTTTGTGTTTTATATACAAGCAAATTCAAGGAATTGTGGTTCCCCACTTTCGGTGTCTTTGTGGTTGGGATGCAATTATTTTATATGGCATATTGTAAGTGTCTTGTTTGTGTGTACTGTCTTATCTGTCCATCATACAAAAGAGATATAAATTTTTGAATTGATACAAGATTCTTCTCAAAACTCAGCATCAAACTTCAAGATCAATGTCATAAGGTCAAATATCATAAAACAACTCAAAAGGTCTTGTCACA